GACAGATAATATACAATTTCCTAGATAATACGTATTACTTAGCACATCACTGGTCAGGTCCTGTGTCTGAAGACCTACGATCTCACCCTACAAATCACTGCTGATGGAAACTGAAAGCGTGAAACCACAAGGGGTCGGAGGGCACTGCACCTCCGCCTGCTGGCTAACAAAACCCGAGCACCTCTTCCATTACCACCTCAAGGGCAAGAGGCACCCCCATCGCTTCGCAAAAATAAATACATGAATAAATAAATAAATAAAATAAATAAAATAAATAAAAACCACTTTAACCCCGGCACAAGCGCCGCCCGGGGCCGGTAGCATGGGGCGCACCCTACATAAAGCCGCCCACAGCCCAGCCTCGGTCGCCCCTCATCCCCACCCCCGCCCCCCCAACGGCTCCGCGGGCCACCGGGACCCCCAAGCGGCCCCCCGCCGGTCTGTAACGTTCCCTAACGGCCGTAACGGCCGCGGCGTACCCCCCCCCCCTACCGGAACCAACCGTCGGTGAGGCCGCGCGGGGAAGGGGGGAGGGAGGGGGGGGAGGGAGCGGGGCTCACGCGCCCCCCGCTCTCCCGCTCTCCATGGCAACCGCGGGGGGCCGCCGCCGCCAGCCGGGAGCGCCACCTTCCGCTTCCGCCACCCCAGCGCCGCCGCGCATGCGCGCCTTGGGGGGGAGGGATGCTGTGAGGAGAGGGTGCACTTAATAATGTTTTGTTTTGTTTTGTTTCCTAAAACTTGATAAGAGAGGTGAAATAAAGGCAGCCATAGGAACAGGCCACGCTGAAAATTGGCTGATTTAGTGGGGACTGTTAGCGTCAGGTCAGAGGTTGGACTCGATGATCTTGAGGTCTCTTCCAACCTAGAAATTCTGTGATTCTGTGATTCAGCTGTTGAATAAAACGTTGATAACGGTTTCTGGAAAGATTGTTGGTGTCTGTTCCATCACGGGTTTCACGTGTATATAAAAGACCTCGTAAATTCCGTTACAGGTTTCGCTCAGGGGTTTGTGTGCAAAAGACTTAATAAATGGTTTATGGAAATATTCCAGTGTTTTGAAGGATAAATGTAGATGGGGGGGGGGAACACGGAGAGGAAAGGAAAACGAGTTGGGAAATAAAATGGAAGGATTAGCAGAGGAGAAGTTGAACAGCTGGAAGTTTTCTGTAGAGTAAAAAATAATAGTATCATCTCCTAATCAAGCGCCAGTTACTGGCAGATCTGCCATGACACTCTGATAATGACCAGTCACTGGATCTGTAGTCTGGTCAGGCAACTTGTATTTTTTCTATATATGCATTTTCAGAGTAAACGTAGTGAAACAGTAGCCTGTTCAAGCTCAGCCATCAGCACAATTCCCATTTGTTAATACTTCTTTTAGGGTAGCACAATGCAGGTAGAAAAGCAGGCAATCATGTGCTTGACTTCCCAGTTTGACTTGCAAAGGCCCCAAATACAGAAATTACCCAACACTGTTACCACAATAGCAAATCTAGATCCATTTTATTTCAGATGCTGTGATAGGTAATGATGAGTCTTTATAGCCAAGTCCATTCTGAAGAAAAAAGAAAAAAATACCTAGGGGAAATATTAACTGCATAATATGGACTTTACATAAAGTCCAACATGGACATATTACACATAGATTATTAAAAGTCTGTGAAATAAGAAATATATTCTTTGGTGGAGAATATTGCACAATAGTGTAGAATTCCTCTTGGAGTTTCTGATGTCTGTGTTGTGTTGTTGTTGCTGTTTATAAATTACCACAGGAGCCACCAGCTGTCATCATAAAATTTTTATTGGCACTCTGTAAATATTAAATCAGCATGCTAAAATCAAGCCATGTGCAGGAACAGCTGATGCTCTGTTACAGAGAGCACATGCAAGAGAGAGGTATGCACTATGACTCCCTGGATTCTTACAGCTTACAAGTCCCTTGCTTCATAAGGCTGTGTTCCAGGATTCATTTTGTGTCCAATTGTACCCTATGATCGATGTGCAGTAGGGGCTGTCTGTGTTCAGGTATCTCCTGGGTTGAGAAATCAGCCTTCTCAACAGTACATACCTTCCTGGATCCTTCTAAATTGTGCGTTTTGTTACTGCCACTTCTTTTCTTTGGCACCATTTTTGTTGCTCACTTCCATGGAAACCTTGCTAGTATAAATTGGAGACTCTTGTAAACTTCAGAAGGAGCCAAATTCTTTATGTCGTGAAGGTCCACGTTTCTGGTGCATGACAGAGGTCCATATTAGTCACATGCCACATTGAAATGAAACCTGCCCTGATCCTGGCCCAGAAGCTTTTGTCAGTCACAATGTCACATACTGAGGATGAAGCATTAACAGTTAAAAGAATATATCTTATAAATTTGCACAATGCATTTTTTTCTTTTCCTTTTGCCATTTTCAAAAACAAACAAACAAAAACCTTTTCAATCTATTCCCACTCAGCATCCCTTGGAATATTTTAGTCATGCACATCAGGGACTCTGTTTTCTCTCCATCTCTGACCTAACCGCAAGGGAAATGAAAGGCCAGATTCATTTTCTGATCCCTCTGCCTCAGTTGTAGGCATGGTGAATCCCCCAGCCCAGAGAGGTTAAATGAGGTCTATACTAAACCAGGCAGTAGTCTAATTTAGGGGGTTAATTTTCACCCAGCCCTCCGAAGGCATGAGGAGCTCCCCTCAGGTAATTCCCTGCTGTAACATTAGCTCTTCTAAGCCCTCTCTCCCTCCAGGGCTTACTGATAGGAGTTCAGGCAGGGTGACAGGAGGGATGAATGTCTCCACAGCTATTAGACTGTGAGGTGCATTTGAACCAGATTCAGCAGAGAGTAAATGTCTGCTAATAGCAAAATCCTAAACCGGCAAAAGAAGAACTCCCCAGAAAAGGCCATAGTGAAGGCTGGCATCTTTTTGTTTTTGTTTTGTCATGGTGTTTTTTGGGGGGTTGCTTTGGTTGGTTGGTTTTCGGGGGAGGGGGTTGTTTGTTTTGGATTCCATTTAGCTTTTGATCTGTTCTTCACTGTTTAAATTGAAGTGCGTTCTGCTGGTGCCATGGAGCATGAGGCACTGTAAACAGGATGACTTTGTTCTCAATACAGAGATTTAATGTTTTTAGCAATACTCTTGCAGTGGGCCAAATGCAGCATCTTTTTATCTCCTTTCTCATTTGAGGAAAGGGAATACTGGCAGCTGACAGGGTGAGCTTTAAAGGGAGCAGAAATCAGTAGCTGCCTACCAGATGCTCAAGGAGTTAGGATTGATTAGCAAGACAGAAAATGTGAAATACTTATAATTCACTATCAGTACATATTTCCTGTTTCCATTGGCAAAGTCCCAAAACACAGGCCTGCTGATGGGGGACCCCAGGTAGCCTCAACCCCACACCTTTTCCCATGCACAGCACACATTCCCAGTTGCCCCATACAATGTGGTTATCCAGCTGCAGAGACTGGCAGGGGCCTCTTCCCGGAGCAAGGAATCTTGTTGTCTTGCGATTCCAGTGAGGAGCTCATAAATTTAGGAGAAAGTACTGCGTGAGATTTCACCACCTGTCAGTAAAACATGCTAAAGCTTGTTAGCTGACAGCCATGAGGTTTGCTGTGAACATTTCTTAAGTGTAGTGGACAAAGTACCAACCACAAAGTACTGAGTGCAACTTCAGAGATTTTTTTTTTTTCCTGGAAATTATGGTTCAGTAGAATTCACTAAGAGCTACCCTCTGGTGTTTGATGTAGTTACAGGCATTAAAGCCAACCTTGTAAAACACTTATTATAGAGAATAACATACAGCGAAGATATAATTTTCTTAAGCAATAAGAATAAACAGCATTTTTCCTCAATTATTTCCAATGTAAAGAACAGAAACTCCACATCCATTTCAAAATGTCCAGGAGGTCAAATAAAATGTCAGAAATGCACAGACTTCACTTCAGATTGAGGTGAGCTTTCTGACAGCTCTGTAGCTATAGCTTAGTCTTGTTCTGTACGTTAGGTTTGAACCGTAGAGGTCACATTATAGTACTCCACTGCAAGCATAGATACAGTGGGAAAGTTTTAATTACAGGAAGCGTGCAACCTCTGAGTGCACGCAACTGAAGTGAAGTCATGCAGGTTTGCTGCTATAATAGCATTACCGCAGGAAGGATCCATACACTGATACGGGTCATTCCCCTCACCTTTCTGACCCACATCATTATACTAGTAGAGGCCATCACAGTTGTGCCGAGAGAACAAAATCTTGTTAGCTCGAGGCACAACTTACTCCTAATAATGAATTTTTAGAGGCTGAGAAGTCTTATCCAATTAACACATTCTTGATTTTGCAGAATGCTGTGCTAATTACATGCAACCAGTCATTGCTGGGTTAATTAAACATTCATCCAAAAAAACCTACAGCACTAATCTAATTAGCAATTACTACAGCTGTCATTACCTCTTTTCACCTCCTTTTAAGCTGTGCAAATTCACACTAAGAATTTACTCCTTCAGACTCTTTACATGAATAGCTTTCTTTGACTACAGTAATCTTCAGTACACAGAAGGAGCTTTAAAAATCAGGCTGAATTCTTTACAGTCTAAAATATAACTTCAGTTCTGCCATTCATATATGCAAAAGTCACAGTTTAGCAGTCAATCATGTCAAAATTAAAAGACTGGATGACTTTTCTTTTTAATTACCTTCTTATTGGAAGCATAGGTCCTATCTTCAAAGTGGTTCTCTGCAAGTATCAAGTCTGAGACATACTTGCGTTAAAAAAAGAAAAAGAGAAAATGCAGACAAAGATTCCTGTATATTCATGCAGCTTTAAATGTCAGTAATAAGAAGCCTCAGAAAATATAGCTTTTTCAGGTTAAATGGTCAAGTTGGTCATAATCTCAGCCCATTTATGCTCCATGCAGCCCAGCATGTGATGGCAGATTTCTGAATCCTTTCACCAGCTGGCATCCTAAGAATATCGATCAGTATTATAAAGCTAGAATATATACTAAAATAAGTTAAAAATAAGTATTTATTGTGTGTAATGCATTCAATACAAGGATGGTAAAAACATAACAGATTGTTATTTGAAATAACATTATATATCACACTGTAACCTACAAACAGCTATATACAGTTTACATATTAGTCTTTAGTGCAAAAGGACAGACAGAAGGCTTTGCTTAGTTTTAATGGGCAATTTTTATTATTTAGAATCAGGTTTATATACAGTGAAATATAACTATATAGTAGTCTTCAGTTCTGTCACTGCATGTAACATGCAAACTGCTACTACAGCCATTCAGACTCAGTACCAGAATATCATTCAGATGCAATTTTCAGTAAAATTAAAAATGGGCATATCACTCTAAATCCACAATGAACTTGGACAAAATATTAAGATACTTCTGGGCACAGCACTATTCATACACAAGGGAATCATTTACCATACCCTTGAATTTACCAGTTATACAAATACTGATTTCCAATACCCAAAGAAAGAGCTGTGGATAGTTTAATAAGAGGGGCCCAGTCTGACAGTATGGCAGTAGCACTAGAGCAGATTCCCAGAGGATTACAGGAGCTGGTTAGAAGTAGTATGGTCCAGTTTTTGGAATCTGGGATGCCAGACAAGTCCAGGGAGAAGCAACTGGAGAAAGCAGCAAAGACAGCAATTCATGCTGTCTGTACTGGCTAGGACTGGAATCAGACCTTTTCTAACAGAAGGCCTTCTCTGGTGTTCCTATAAACCTAGACAGGTATCGGCATGCTGATAAGATCCTTTTGCAGATTTTTGATCACACAAATGTGTTTTCTGCTTTAGCTTAGCTGTTGAGAATGCTACTTAAACTTTATCTGGCTGTCACCACCAACACTGAAATTCATCTAACAGGAAAATGTTCATTGCCTTTCCACAGTGAACTTAAATAATAACAACAGTGGAAATACATTGATTTCTGGTGCTTTCTGTGGAAGTCTGTATTTTTCTTTTTTTTTTTCCTCCTTCTACTGTATGAAAGTTTCAAGAAAAATACATGCAGAGGAACTGCAGGTGTGTAAAAAGAGAGCAAGCGGTTTCTATGGCAAACCACTTGCAAACCATTTGCAACTACTAAGCATGTAAGTTGTGAGGTGTGTTAGTTTTTGCTGGAAACTGAACTCCAGCTGGGAGCAATCAGAATGACCCTAACTCATCACAGCTCTCTTTATGCCTTATATCCATTTATATTTTACACTCTCCAGTCACTATCTTAATATAAAAATGGACCTGTTTTTGCAATGAAGAGACTAAAGCCTCCTATGTGTTGTCAGTAGAACAATACTGGCAGTCTCTGCAAGCAAAGGCAATGCAGAACAGCCATTACATTAGGTTTTTGTAGATATAAATCATCATGCTAGTTCTTCAGCTGTTGTTTGCTAGCATCCTAGGATGCTAGTTACAGGAAGGTTGGAAAACTTTAGACGGTTTCCCTTGTTAAAGTAAAAAAATTATGCACAAACCCTATAATTCCATCTCCATTTCTTCAACAACTGCAAGGAAACATCTGTTAAATTTTAGGTAAAGTTATTGTTGAAGCAAAGAGGCAGTTTATGTAGAAATTTACATCTTTAATATTTTGGTGTAACAGTGTGATGAAAGCCTTTGAAGTTCTTTGATTTTTTTTTTTTTTCCCATTGGCAAATTCTTATGATCAGGGACTTGAGAGGTACCTTAAACAGGTTAGTTGTGCTCATGTGCATTTTCATGCAAATCTGACTGTCGAGATTCAAGCAGAGGATCTTTAATCTTTTGAATCTCGCATTTACACTCTTCCACAATCATGACTTCTTTGACCACCGGGACAGAATTGGTGCAGTTGAGATCCAAGCGCTTCATAGAAAACTTGGTGGGCATGCACTGAGAACAGAAGGTATAAAGACGATCTTCTGGACCAGGAACATGAAAGGAACTACACTTTCCAAAGCACAGATTATTCTGTACCATCACCTTCTCACAGCTCTCATGAGCAATACCCTGAAACAGAAAACAGTTTGAAGATCACAGTATTAGCAGTGATACATGAATATAATTTAGTACTAAGTCTATATTTCTGGTACATGAGTGGCCAGTGGGATTTACTAGAAAGCATGAAGGCAAAAATAACAAAACAAATCAAAAAGCATAACTCCAAACTACTATGCTATAAGAACCATTTTTTTTTCTCTGAACATTTACTTTAAAAATATTTATTTTCAATGGCAATCAAGCAGTAAAATACAAGACTGGTTTGTGTTTTACAGAACAAAAACAACAAAGACCAAACTTTGGAACTCCTACGGGCACTTTTTAGATTGAACACACAGGAAAAAATTCTGCTCAACTCAGAGCCTTTGTGAGCTGGTGGGAGAAATCCAATAGATGGATTTACCTTTGGTCTCTGAGTTCTGCATTTCCAACATGGTTAAGCAGTCTTTCCCACTTGCAGGACTTAAAACATCATTTTGTACCAACATTATTGCAGATAAACCACAAGCTAAATTCAGCTGTAATCTTGATGATTTATTTCAATGTGGGAGATGAATATAATGTTATTTAGCAGTTAAAAAATAAATAAATAAAATATTTAAAGTGTAATTCAAGTTCTGTAATTTTCTTGATTTGCAAGAGTAATAATTGCTTGTATCAGGAGAGACTATGTCACATTCCCAAACCAGGAAAAGCTAGACTGAAGTTAGCTCTTTGATATTGGCATAACTGCAGCCATCATGGAGAAAGCTTGCCATATTACACTGACACAAAAAGTAAAACAGTACATGTGCCTAGGCTACATATGTCTGCCAAGGAAATAAATTCAGGGATGTTTAAAAAAAAAAAAAAAAAAAAAAAAAGTGGTCCTTAACTTATAGTCACAGTGTTGGTAGAATGCTCAGAATACATACGGCCTTATGAGGAAAACAGCACTGTTGTCTACACTGCTTACTTGCCTTGATATTACAGCATGACTGAATGGCTTCATCTGGGAATGGGACAATTTACCTATTCTCCAACATTCTTAGTATGGAATTAGATATATGCATCAGTCATTCAATTAATACAATAGACAGGAAAATTTGCTTAGCTGTAGGAAATCAACCAGCTTCTCCTGTAAATTGTTGTTCTGGGACACATTTTTTATATATATGTACATATATAGAGAGATGTATAGCAACTCATGTATAGAAACATTATAGATGTATATTTGTTGTATAGACAATTGCTCACCACCTCCCTGCTTGCTCAGGCTAGGTCAGAACATCATTGCAAAAAGAGAATAAATAACTCTGAAAACGATGTGTGGCTTTCCAGTGCTGCGGTTTCACAGTCTGCCTCATCAAAATAAAGCTTCGAGTCTTTCTCAGAGCGTATGGAGTGTGTGGCCCTTTGTCTTAGCAAATGAACTAACCCATGCATCTTTACTTGCTGATTATAAGAGGCAGGAAAAAGGACACATTTATTGACCTTGGACACCTGTTCTTACCTGAGAAAAAGGCAGGGTTCTGCAGGTTTCTTGGTGCATTTCATTAGTCTTGATTGGCAAGACAACCTCTTCTGAAGCTGAATTTTTTCTTAACATGAAGTGGTCCCAGAATTTCTTGGCATCTTTTCTATAGGTATGTTCAACCTCCCTCTTGCTGGAATAGTGGGATGGAGAGACGTTTTCCATGGGAGAGACCTCTCTGGGTGCTGTCCAGGTTCTAACATCTTGGTCTGCATAGAGTTCTGCATTAGGAAGGATGAATCTGGACATTTTTTTCTCCCCTTGCTTCTGACTCTCTCCTGCTGTCTGTGGAATTGCTACAAAAAAACTTGGTTGTCCCTGGGTTTCCTCAACAGCTACTGGGTTTTCCCCCACCAGCTCACGAAAACTTTGACTCTCAAGCAGCTTTTTGTCCAGGTAGAAAAGCCGCTGAAATGGCCTTCTGCTTTTCCTTTGCTGTGAGTCTACCTGTGGCTCTGTGGCTCCAAGATGTGAGAGCACTAGCAGCTGAAGGAGAAGCAGTGACATGGTCCTGCTGAGTGTAACCCTGTAGACCTGCTGCTATTGCAGTGAACAGCGTGCTAGTTTTATACAGGAGCCTGGTGTCAGCTTAAGTTTGTGTGCCAAGAGGAGGGGGGAGCTCAGAGGAGACCCTAGTGTGCTTAATTGTATTCATTTGCTGTAGATTACAATTATGATAGTGGAGTTTGTGCTAATGAAATTCCACTTTCAATCTGTATAATGTGTATTACAAGTTCCTATCTAAAAACTAGTAACTTAGGATGGTGTGGGAGACAGGGGGAGTCAACAGGAGGAAATGTTTGGATAAGCTGTCTAGCTGAGGCCTAGGAATTAAGGAAACATTTGAGGTTGTGTATTAGCATGTTCAATGTGGTCTTCATTGTTTATTTTGACTTTCCATTCCACAAAGCTAGAGACTGTCAAAACAGGGAATGTTATTTCATCACAACAGGAACAGGCAAGCTGATTAATGTTTTCTAAAACATGAAGCTGGATCTGGAGATGTAAAATCAGTCTGTGTTTTCAAAAGTTGCTACTAATTTTGGTCTTTCAGATTTTGAATATGATCCAAGGCCTGCATCAGCACTGCTGCAAACTGGCAGACTTGTGCTCACACACCCAGAGGAACCTGGCAGAGAGCACTAGTTCTAGTTTCATCTCTTTCACAGGAGTTTTGCAGATGTGAGAGTGCAGAAGTTTTACTAGTCCAGAATAAGTTCACAAGGTCAATAAAATCTGCACCCTCAATTCTCAAAGATCCATACTGAAATTTCCTGTACAGACAGCAAAGACACTACAAATAACCAATAAAACTGGTAAACAAAATGAGGACTTAAGCAAAACACATTTTGTGATGCATTTTGTGATTCTAGAGTTGAATGTCTCAACAGAAGTATCTAAAGACTACCAGAGCTAAGCTGGAGGCTTAGTTTCACAAAGTTATGCTATGCAGCATGTGAGAAGAAACTTCTGGTAGTACAGCATACTTAGGAAAGCACTGAGAAAAGGAAAAAACATGTTTTCAATAAACATCTCAAACATTGATTCTAATCCAAAAATATTAAAAGGAAAATCTGCTTCAGATAACTTGCGATGTTAGTACTCTGTCCTCTACACATACCTGTTTCTACTGGGAAGATTATATCAATAGACTCTTAAGTTTGTAGCTAATTTCTTCATTAATTTTGAAAACCAAGCAGGTCTGTACCAGATGTATAGAATAATATATCTTTCATTTCAGGGGAATTAGTTTACAGAATCACAGAATCACAGAATTTCTAGGTTGGAAGAGACCTCAAGATCATCGAGTCCAACCTCTGACCTAACGCTAACAGTCCCCACTAAACCATATCACATAAACCTTATGTGCACAAGTCGATGGGGCCGGATGGGATCCACCCAAGGGTACTGAGAGAAGTGGCAGAGGAGCTGGCCAAGCCCCTATCCATCATTTATCAGCAGTCCTGGCTATCGGGGGAGGTCCCAGCTGACTGGCAGCTAGCAAATGTGATGCCCATCTACAAGAAGGGCCGGAGGGCTGACCCGGGGAACTATAGGCCTGTCAGTTTGACCTCAGTGCCAGGGAAGCTCATGGAGCAGATCCTCTTGAGAGTCACCATGCGGCACTTGCAGGGCAAGCAGGCGATCAGGCCCAGTCAGCATGGGTTTATGGAAGGCAGGTCCTGCTTGACAAACCTGATCTCCTTCTATGACAAAGTGACGCGCTGGGTGGACGAGGGAAAGGCTGTGGATGTGGTCTACCTTGACTTCAGCAAGGCTTTTGACACCGTCTCCCACAGCATTCTCCTCAAGAAACTGTCTGCTCTTGGCTTGGACTGGCGCATGCTTCGTTGGGTTAGAAACTGGCTGGATAGCCGGGCCCAAAGAGTCATGGTAAATGGAGTCAAGTCCAGTTGGAGGCCGGTCACTAGTGGCGTCCCCCAGGGCTCGGTGCTGGGGCCGGTCCTCTTTAATATCTTCATCAGTGATCTGGATGAGGGCATTGAGTGCACCCTCAGTAAGTTTGCAGATGACACCAAGCTATGCGCATGTGTCGATCTGCTCGAGGGAAGGAAAGCTCTGCAGGAGGATCTGGATAGGCTGCACCGATGGGCTGAGGTCAACTGCATGAAGTTCAACAAGGCCAAGTGCCGGGTCCTCCACCTGCAGCCTATCCAGATCCTCCTGCAGAGCCTTCCTACCCTCAAGCAGATCGACACACTCAATGCCCTTGTCCAGATCATCGATGAAGATGAAGTTTAGTTTACTTCGATTAGCAGGCAGTAAGTTCTTGGCAATTTCCTTGCATGGCACTGATGCAACACACAGTGGAGATTTAGAGCTTGTCCTTATTCCATAATTTACTTGAGTTAAAATTTGTTCTTGTCTTGATTTGAACCTTGAGACAGAAGTGCATGGAGCTCCAGCAAGAATGGTATTCACACACCACTATTTGAGTATGTGTGCTTTGACCTCAGTGGGATGAGGATCTTGTTAAGGGAAGCAAAACTGTCAGGCACAAACTTTATTACTCTGTATCTTCAGTCCAGAGAAATTTAATTCTGCTGCTGATTTGGTACCTTCCTGAAGTCTCAGAATTGCCAGGGACAGAGACCTCAGTTGTCAGGAATGAAATCACTGGAAATCTTGGCATTTGCAACAAGATCAGCTATGACACATATCCCCCAGAAGTCCTTGCCTCAGATTTACATAAGCATGTGCAGTAATAAGGTGGAGTAGGAAAGAATCAAGAGGAATAATTTGATTGTCAATAGCAAATTAAGTAGTCTAAAAGTACAGTTTGGATCCTGACACCCTGTCTTCATTGGCCACCATGTGTAGCTGAAGTGACTGAGGTTTGGATCTAAAATTCCTTATATCTGGTGCATATTGGTGGTAGCTGTCCAGAATTACTCAAGGAGGATAAGTACATTATATTTGTGTAGAGGTGGTGATTAGGGGCACCGTAAACTTGGTATTGCTAGGTTAATAGTTGGACCTAAAAGATTCTGTCATTTCATGGTTTTATGACTCTTTCTCCTTTTTCCTCATTATTTTAGTTGCTTGGAATGTTACAAGACAAAGATGATACTCAGACCTGTGTATTATATTGTATTATATTGACATAGAAGGGTCTGACATGTTTGGTAATGACTTTCGAATACTAGATTTGATTGTTTGAAGTAATATATATTTTTGTAGCTCTTTGCTTCAGAATTTAAAATTATAAAGCTCATTAAAACAATTTAAAATCCATTTCTTCTGGATTATAGAAATAAAACAGAAATATTCCTTCTGTTTGCTTTTAAGCTGTTTTTCACTTCCTTTGGGAGAAGTGCCTTTTCACCAAGGTGAAGAACCTAGCAATGTACCAGCATTTTTTATTTAAAAGGTCCAGCTATAGTCTTGATCCTTTAATGCTTGTTTCAACTGTATCCATACAAGCAAAATTATACGGATAAATTAACTCACATGTATGTTTACAGAAATGAAAACTAAGTGCCTGAAGGGCCCAATTTACCCCTTTTCAAAGCCTTCTGAAGAAAAAACAATAATAAATTTAAAAAAATCCCACCACCTTCAAGGTAAAAATGAACAGACTTTTAGTCTTGATTAAATGTTACCCTAATCTGCCCTGAAAGAAGAAGCATACATGCAAGGCCTTTCTTATCTGATGTGTCTGATGTGGTTGAGGCACGGTCTAGTACCCAGACAGCCTTAACTTCTGTTGGAAGCTTCTCCTGTTCATAATATGAATATGAGCAAAATAATTTTATGACTGCCTTCTCCCCCCCTCCTCCTCTCCCCTCCCCCTCCCCCCCTTTTTTTTTTCCCAGAGGGGGTTCTTCCTGCATCTTTTCACAAAGAACCAATCAGGCTGCAAGCAGGAAACATTGTGCAAAAAAATTAAGAATATCACACAATAATAAAGAAAATGTTAGTACTGGAATTCTTGTCCTAGACACTTGTATGTAAAGTAAAATGGTGTGGATTATTTGTGCAGTGCAAATGTTAACAAGGAATGCATAAAGATTTATTCTGACATATAGATATAGATGTTAAACTGCTAGTGTGTAATGGCACTGAAAAAAAACAACACACTGTTTAAGATCAGGATGGTATTTTCTGTTCTATCCTGTACCACACAGCAAGAAAGAAGGCTGAAGCAAAGCAATACCAACAAATCTCTCTACAACCTAAAGGCAGAAAACTGAGCTCTTATCTCCTCTAGGCTAAGCAAACTCTGGTTCTTGGATTTTCTTGGATAGTTTTACCTAAAGATCTGCTGAGAGCCAAAAGCTGCATGCCAGCTCTGGTTCTGCCAGGCCAGTCTCATCCTGCTTCTTCATGCCTACAATAGTAAGCTGTGGCTGGTTTCCAAGAGACAAATTTGGTAAGAAACAGGGCCTGGTACATCTGGGCACAGTTTGTTCTATATTTATACACAGTCTAAATCTGCTTTGGAGTCAGCTGCATGCATAACTGCACACAGGTAGCAGGACATGTCCTCAGCCTCTCGTTTCAGCCAGGAGCCAGCCTGCATTGTGGGAAGGCATCCCAGCTTGGACAGTGAATTTGGAGAACCACTACGAAGTTAAAAATAGTAAGTATTTGTACGTCTTTTTGTGGTGACATCAATCGCATAGTCTAATAATTGACAACAGATATTGGACTGAGCACATTATCATTATGTTCCAAATGCAGCTAATCTCAGATTTCTACAAAAAGCAATGATGTATCTTTTATAAAAACTTGTTTTCCTGCCTGATTATCCTTTCATGTAAGCATAGCACATGTTTTCACTGTATTTTGGTTGTTAAATTTTGTGGCTAAATGCAGCAGCGTCTTTCAGGCAGGCTTTGATTTGCCTTCATAGTAGCATTTTTTCAGGACATTCAGCTTTCAGAAATAGTCACCGTGAATGTTTGCCCATCTTTTAAAAACACTATCAGGTCTATAGATGACAAGTGACATGCAAATGCAAAGTGGTATTATTCATTCGTTTCAGAGCTGGAGTTTATTCAGTCATTATGGACATAAACTGAGTAATTAGTTACACTGCCAGTTGATGCCTAAAAATAATTCTTAGGCAGTGCTTGAATTACTTGCCTTCTGTTGAGCTAAATAATTTCATTATAGCATGATTAATGATTAAATCATTAAAATGGATTTTATATTTTACAGTCCACTTCAATATCCTATCATTTTAGAAACACATTCTATGTAGACAAACTTGTATCCACATATATCTTTTACAGAACCCACATGAAGACCTCAGAACTAATGAATTAGCACTATGCAGTTTATTCTCCAATTATTGTACTTATCAAAGAAAGCCATCTGTGGTCTTTGTTTTACTGAGTTTCGGGGAAACAGATCGCATACAGGCCTCACGGGGAAGTTATAATTATGAAACCAAAAGGCTTTTGTGAAGTATGATAGGAAAGAATAGCCAGTAAATAATTTTGTATTTTCAACCCTATGTACTGTACAGCATGAATTTCACCCTTTGTCTATTCAGCTTCTAGTCTTTTGTTGTGTTATTTCTTGCATTGACTCATTAATATACCTTTCCATTCACATTTTTCTCTTTCTTTTCTCTGTTCTGGAGAAACAGAGCTAGAATATAACTTTCAAATTACTGCCAAAATGTAGATTCTTGCACTTGAAAATGTTCACTTTTGTGTCTAGCAGAGCTAGGATAAGTTTCTTTTCATATGCGTTGATTCATTGCTCTCACAACACTTGACAGTAAAATGGAATAATCTGCATGGCATTAAGGACATATAATGAAATGGATTGTTTTCTCTCTATTGCAATTCTCAGGATGGAAGATTTTGGACTGGTAGCCACCTCTGAAGCATTTCCTCCATCATACTGGTACATATGTACCACCTAACTGAGAACATACTCAGTTCCAAAGCCATGCTGAGGACCCATGCTGAATATGTTCCTGATTGCTGCAGCTTATTAAACCTTGAGACACTGGAGGAGGAGGAGTCTGCGCAATGGGAAATTTCAGTCTTGAGGAAAACACAACTTTCTCAGAATAATTTGTGTGAATAATAATTGGTTAGCAGTGGTAATTCACCAAGGAGTTCAACAATACCAAGAAAATGTTTCTAACATAATTCAAGAAAGAAGATGCAGATAAGTTTTATTTAATTACAGTAAAAATGTATTAAGACTTGTCTGAAAAATTTGTCTGTATGCATAAAATAGTATCCTTTTACATACTGTGCTTATATCCAATTATTTAGGTATCATGTTCCTATTCATTAGGACTTTCACTACTTAAAAAATACATTATCTCAGCTCTGTGAAAATAAACTAACAAATCTCTGTTCTTGTCTTCTACCCTTATACTGGTTATATACTGATAAACAGACTAGTAGTTAAGCAGTGGAGATAGAGTAGCAGCATTGTCCAAATTACAAGTAGCATAGCTTCTTGTAATAAAAAAGTTGAAATCTCAATGAAGCTGACTGAAGATCACTGAGAAACAATGCCTTTTTTTTTCTGTTAATTTTAATGATCCTTTAAATGATGAATCTTTTTAAAAATCAATTTTATGGACTGACAATCTTTCTTGAAGTCATTCATTCTCTTATATATCTACTTGTAGACTTGTAACTTTCTTTAAATTTACTTCTCAAAATAAACATTCCAGCATTTTCTATTAAACATATAGTTTGCTTATGATATATATGTTCTTATAGTACTAATTCAGAAAGGCTCATGCAGAAGCAGAAACAGATTTCAGAAACTGCAAAGAATAAACAGCAGCTATATTACACTTAACTATAAGTACATTACTACTATGCCCAACACTTAGGTTTTTACCACTAGCTAAAAAATAAAAATAAAACTGCCAAAAATAAAACACACACACATAAAAAATGAAAACAACAACAACAAAAATTACCTTTTGTTCAATTATGGAAGGAAACTGAAGAAACACAGATTCACCAAAATGATATGTTTCAGTTTTGTATTGACACAAAGCTATGCATAACAATATATATAGTGTTCTGAATACAGTAAATAGGTTAGCACCAGTCTTGTGATGTAAATAAAGTAGAATCACAGTATTCGCTAAGTTATATATATATAATTTCCTCAAGCCTATTTTTGTAGTTTTAGAATGAGTGAAAAAAGAATGCTTTCATTACATTTCTGTGTGTACAGAAGAGATCTCGAAAACTTTAGTGATTTTTTCCAAATTAAAACTTGATCTCTAGGACATTAGTAACAACACACTTGCTCACACAAATACAATTTGTTCTTAAGTTATTGAAGCTTGTTTTCCCTGTATTTGGCTGAATCTGGGGAGCGACAAGAGGTCATATTACTAGCATCAGTTACTGGGTTACTTCAAAGGTCTCCACCCATGGCAAGATCTCAACGGTGTAATATCAAAAGAATTCATGTCAGAATTTTCTGCTTTGGAAGAAGTGTTCCTGTGGCAAGTTGCCTACCATTTTTTTACACAGCTGTCATCTGCAAGTCATCTCCTTGGTCAACAAATTAAAAAGATAGCTGACAGGGAGAGGAGGTGGTTAAAAGAAGCAGGCACACAAGCAGCTCACCATTCCCTTTTTAGAAAGCTGGGCTAACAACATGTGTGGTTTTTGTTTGTTTGTTTGTTTTCAGTGAGCTGTCACCTGTTGATTCTGTTGCTGTTAAAAGATACATGGGTAGTTCTGGTAAAATAAAACTTGTGCTCATCCAGAACATCCACAGGTAAACATCAGTATTTATATGACTTTCAGCCTCCCAAAATTCCATGTTGACACTGATCCTTGAATGCTTCTCAGTTTCCCAAGTTTATTCAGAGTCTAAATCAAGCTGTATTGAAGACTGAAAAAGTTCCCAGTAACTTCTCAGGATTTTAGGCTTTTTCTTTACTAAAACTCTTAGAGACAACAACTTCCTATGGCAACAGAAAAAGTGACATATTTTTGCTTTCCCTGTTTTGAATATGTAATATTTTTTGAACATATCCTAATAAAGAGTGCAAAGATCACTGAAAAAAATTCATTTTAAAATCATGTAAGAATTTTGGCTTCATTAGTATATTGTATCAGATCTCATGAAAGCAGAAAATGCATATAGTTTGCACAACTAACTATCCATGGTGTACTGAAAATTTGAAACACCTCAATTGCTTTCAGGTACTTCAAGTAAAGTACAGAAAAGGGGTATTTTCCACTCTTCACACACAAGCAAACTTCCGAGATCAGTGCTGTCTCGGTATAGTCACTAGTCATATTTTAGTTATTGGTCCAGTAACAAACTCCATGGCCAAAATTCCCTCTCTGTTAAGGTCATTCATTATGTAAGTAGGAGGGGTACTTAATAATCTTGATAGGTTTTGTAAAGATAGTACCAATAAGCTCAGTAGTTTTTATAACAAGAAGGCCCTAAATAAATAAAATTTTATGTTTATGTTTAACAGCCTCTCTTAATCATTTTTCCCTGCAATTACAGAACATGATATCTGTAGCTATCAAGTGTGCTTTGTTGCACCATGGGTTTTGGTTTTTGTTTGTTTGTTTTTGTTTGTTTTCAGTGAAAAGAAATATATATATATATATATAATTACAAAGAAATAAAAACAGGTCTGGACAGGTACTCAGAGGCTACTTGTTTTGGGGGTATTCTTGAAACAATTAGCATATATATCATTTTGGTTTAGGTAACTTCTTAAGCAAAAGTGTTAGTGTCTATAAAAGTGTCTAGAAGCTTGGCATAAAGGTCATAAAGACAAAAACGAATTATGGAAGTGTGTTTGGTTGTATCTGTTGATACCAACAATATGATATGGTTCTGTCCACAGTATTTTACCTCTAATCTTGTAAGGCACTTGTGCTTATCTGCAAGAGTGCAAGAGTCCCTTCAGAAAGGTACTCTCCTACATGGAAGGACTGCCCTGCTACTCACATGCCTGTTCTAACTCATCATACGCAACAAGGAAGGATAAATAATCCCTGGAACAGTTCCTCCAGCACAGAGAGGAGAGGTGATTCTGCTGCATCTGTTCCTTCACAGGACTGAGAAATTACTTTGAGGAGCCCTAGAAAGAGCAGAGGTGCAAATGGTGCACAAATGTAATTGATCAAGAGTCTGGCCGAATTGATGAGCTTGTAAGGGACGTGGACAGAAACAACTGCTGGCGGCAGGCAGGCAGATGGGAGGGCTGAGAGTTCATATGGTACATGGTAAATTCTTTATACTCGATGCCACACCACCTGTCATACACTCATGTCAGGCAGAGGGAGGGTTTGAAAAAAGCTTTAATTTTTTAGCAAGCTTATGACTTGTTTCTTTTTTTAATTTTAAGGCTGGCAGTAAGGAGGTCCTAAAACAAGATTTTTGTCATGTCAGGAATAACTTTACTATAATGTTACCAAGTGGTAACATGACAATGGCATGTATGTATAATAAGTTAAAATTAAGTTATGGGCAGCTGTTTGGGTTTTGTTGTTTTGTTGTTTTGTTTTGTTGTGTGGTTTGGTTTTTTTTTGTTTGTTTTTGTTTTTGCTTTTGGTCTTGTTTTGTTTTGTTTTTTTCCTATTAAATGCTGTTTTTAAGCTATTCTCAGGACTAAATCTGGATTTTTTATAATTATTTTTTAAAACCTCAAATCCCTAATAAGGACTTAGATTAATACTTTTCAAAAGCCATAGCTGCTTTAGTACAAAGTATGTCTCACGATTACATTGGCTTATATACACATATAAATCCTATTCATGTTCATGTATCACTGAATCCCATGATACTATTCTGGAATTAAGCTTCAGAATTAATTTTTTTTGTGTGTGTAAATCATCCTTTGAGATAGCATTAGATTTGCAGAGGTCCTGTTAGTTAATTATACTGTAAAAATTATAGCAACATCATGCAATTCTAAAAAACAGTGAATAATTTTAGTCAGAAGTGACAAACAATGTGCAGTTCTATGTGAGCAGATCCATTAGGATCTGAAGCTGTTCTTGGATACTAGAAAAAGAAATACAAGGCTTTTGCTCATGTTGGTACTCTGTCACTAAACCATATCACTGCTATTCTTTTGTAGAACATTGTACTAGGGCATCCACACAAAAACTACAAAGTACAAAAAGTATCCTGACAAAATGTCTCACCCTTCCTCACACAAGATAACCTGCTTTCAGCCAGCAGAGTCTGCCCTCACTTCCACCCCAAACAGTATTTCTTTCACTGTGACTGCAGGGTAAAACTGCTGTTTTTTTTGCAAATGTATTAAAGCAATAGCCAATCCATAATCACTCCTTAAGAGGGAAGCAAATCAACTGATGTGCTACTTTCTTTCTTTTTTCTTTCTTTCTGTGTAAACAAAGGTATGTTTACACAGAAATTTGATGAAAGCGGTTAGGCCTAGCTCTTTGGTGTGAAAATACAAATGAATAAGCAAGAGATCAAAGTTTCTGGGGAGAGTTCAAAGCCTTGACCTGGACTTACTGTTTGCAACTGACCTCTATTTCTTGTTTGGAATCCAATGCATCTGCATCTCTGGCAACACAAAATAAAACCTCGGTGATAATTAAGACAGTTTTCTGTCTGAATACCATCACATGCCTGCAGATAAATAGACTGAAACAAAAGGAATATCCACATGCTTTTTCACAGGGATCCTCCATTCTTTACAGCTTTCTAGAACATACATAGCTGTTCCGTTTGACCTTCCTGCAGTCAGTTGCTTGCCATTTTCCTCTCTTCTGCACTAATACACAATTGTTGCCTCTCTTTGGAAAGTGATAGAAGCCTCTTCTCCAGTTAATGTATGTGACAGGTTCTCCTCCATTCCACTCCCAATGTCCAGGATTGACTTGGTCGTTCAAGCCTGCGTGAAATCAGTAAGACCAAATGAGTGATATTGTTCATCCCTGGAGCCTGATGTCAACAGAAGCATGTTGTCCTATCCCTCTTAAAAATATATGCAAGTTGTGCAGGCCAAAAATAAATAAATAAATGAATAAATCTGGAGAAATACAAGCAATAATACACTTCAATATTTTGTACAGCATCTACACTTAACTTTTTTCCCCATTACTGGCCTAAAATATTTTCTTTCTCTCCATGTCTATCATACCCCAAGTTTCTCTTTTGATACTTAGGATGCCAAATAGAGTGTCATATTCAAGCCTGGGCAGCTTCAGACTTCATGGATTCCTCCTGAAAATAAAATCCTGCAGATCTTCATAGATCTTGTTTATACTGTTGAAAGGATGATAGTTAGCACAACTTAAAGTATGCATTTTCACTTAGCCTCTGAGTTCCTAAGACCAAAATGGGTCAGATATGACCTTTCATCTTAGCTAGAAGAGATGACAATTAGAAAATCAACACAATGGGCTTGTAGTTTTTATTCTTATCAAAGGACTTTATTTCTCTCAGGGTAATAGAATCATTACACCATTGAACATGAGTACAAACTGAATGTAGTTTTTAAAGCTGATTTAGTTGATTTATTTTACCAGCTAGGTTTAAAACGGGAAAGGTTTCTAGGCAACACAGGTCATGACAAACTCTTCTTTTTGATAAAGACATAAAATTATCCAGGTGCATGACAGCTTTCAGTTTATGCATTGATCTGAAATACCAAACACTGCAGAAAGTTGAGGGCAATGCAGCATTTGGAAACGGTGCTGAAAACTTGTAGCAGTTTAAGGCTTTATCATCAATCACTTTATTTTCAGCTGATATACTTGCCTATCCAAAAAGGCTTTCTCCCGCTGAAGTCCCACAGCCACTGCATGTGTTGTTCATTAGCCACACTTGCTAGACTCCCCTGGTATCTAGGCTCAACAAGAGAGAAGAGAGTAATTAGAATTCCACAGAGCGACAGACATCTCCCATAGACTTACCAACAAGAAGCATGAAGGATTCTAACATACACCATATAGCTCACATTTCACAGGAAAATCAGTACGGGCATGAAAGAATAACTACATAAAGATTTAGTCTTACATTTACAATTACTTGTAGAACTTAAGTCCTAGATTGATTTTTCTGATTTTCTAATAGAAAAATTAAAATGTCTGTGCAAATAAAATACGTGTATACTGGACATGTGTAACAAATTCAAAAACTATGTTTTAAATCATGGACATAATTGTTTATCAATACTGCCTTTTTCTCTAAAATAAAAATCCACCACACTAAAAATCCAAGTCACCAAAAGATACAGCCTCACCTATTTGGTAGTGCAGCAGACTGTATGCTTTTTAAACTGTTTTCTGACAAAGATAAAGCTCTGAGTAACACAGTTTAAAACTTGGGCATATTTCAAAATAGAATGAAGTCTGTGTGTAATTCAGGGGGTTGATTTAGAATGGCAGCATGGTTCTGAGAGGTAATGTTGTGTTGTTCACAATGACTGTTCATTTAGTTCAGATCTGAAAGGAGTTTTGGCTTGTATTAACTAGATTTAGAATGAAACCAATGCACCAGCTCAAATCTGTCTGTGTACTTAAATCACAGTGGAGGGCTTGCAAAACTTAAAATACTGAATGGCCTTGCACTGCAAAGTCCCCCAACTAGTACCAAGCATGCAAACATCAGTAGGCTGCTCTTAAGCCATTTAGAGGTCAGGCCAAATTCAGGCCATTTAGAGGTCAGGCCAAAATCAGGCCATTGAATATCTTCAGCACTGAGCACTGAGCACTTGTATCTTTCATATTTGCCAGGAATTGTCAGCTGTCAGCAGCTGACTTTCATGGTTATCCATCTTTTTGCCTGCCCTGATTTAATGATGCCTTTTTTATGTGTCATGCCTACTCTCACCCTTCCTCTCCTACTGAGTCTCTCCCATTTCTGTTTTCCCATGCTTATGACTGCTGTTTAGTGTAACAGTGATGTCAACCCCTTCGAACATCCTAGGTGATACTTGATAGGCCCCAAGGAAACAACACTGCTCTTCAAAACATTTTAAGACAGCAAAAAACTTTTCTAGCAGAAGAATAATTCAATAGTATCATTAGAAGTTACTGAATTTTGTGACTGTTGCCAGATGCACTGGAGATAGAAAACCAGTATTTTTCTGAAGAGAGTAAGGTTGTTCTTAAGAGCTGGGACAACAACCAGACCTCAAGGGAGGCATGGCAGACACTACTGAGACAGAGAAAAGATCCTGGGGTGGAATTCCACCACCAAGTCTGCCACCCACTTAGAGACCCATGCCTGGAGCTCCATTCCTGTTTGCTGACATATATCTTTTTTAACAGTAATTAATATTAACAGTAATGATCCTGTGGATGCTATATCATAACCCCATGGAAAATAGGGCAGCAGGTAAATTTTTCATCAGGAGGAATTCCTATCAATCCACAGTGTTCTGCGCAGTCCTGTTCACACAAAACTTGGGCCATTCCTTTTTCTGGGCATACAGGAGTATAGTACAGAGCAATGTTGATGGTATGCTTCTGCTGCAAAGGCCTATCCCATTACTCCTATAGTCAACTGAAACAGCACAGGATTCACCCCCTTACTCCTCTTTGCACAGTGGATCCCCCAACACCTACAGGACAGCTGTGTGTTAGCCCTTATGCTGTGTACCTGATGTGCCCTGATGCAAGGCTACCCTAGACCAAAGACCATATAGTAACACAGGCCCCATCAAGGTCCCCTAATATCTGAGACCACCAAAGAACAAAGTGTAAAGGATCTTACTGACATCTTCCATGTACAATCCACAGATAGAGGTGTGGCAGGGTAGCCTCAGAAGCATTGATCATGACTTTACAAATGGTAGCCTGACCCAGCAGAAAGTGGTTAGAAGCACGGGGATTGCACACCTCCTTATGGTACAGAATCCCTAAACTTCACCCACTGATTGCAAAGCTGTGTTACCAGCTCTTGTGTATGTACTCTTTGTCCCCTTATGTCACAAGGGTGACATGCTTCTTCTCTGTGCTCAACCACCAGGCCCATCTACCAAGTCTCCAGTGAACAAATCGGTTACTCTGGCTAATGCTCTTGGAAAGTTTTGGATTCTTCTTCAAACAAAAGGTCCAGGAAAGCAGGGCAGCTCATTCAGGGTGTCCGCCCCAGGTAACTGATTCAGCAGCAGAATGCCATTCCCCCTCACAGTGACTGTGGCTGGCCAGTCACCAGACTTGAGTCTGAGAAGAGTTTTGGGCAGCAGTCTCTGTGGTATCACCATTAGTAAGCAAGAACAAAAATAGCCATTTTATCTGGCTGCTGCTTAAAGACAATCAAAGCACCAGAACTTAGTCAGTTACTTTAGAGAGCTGTAATAGTTTTAGGAAAATTAAAAACAAACAAAAGCATCAATTTGTATCAGTAACTGCTATACCATTTACATACAAGGGTGGTCTGAGCAGTAACAGATTCAGACTTTGTTCAACACAAGCACCAGTGAGAGCCTTCAGCATTGTGAAGGGAAAGCAGTGCAATAATTATGTTATCTAATCTTTCCTGCATAAAAGTGCTTTCTAAATACAGCCTGACCAACAAACATGACTGGAGAGAGAACAACTATTCTAATCATTAAACCTGGTCAAGGGTTTTGCAGTATTGTAGGGAAATGAAAACAGTACTGAAATACCACTGCTGTTAATATTTCTAACCTGTATCTCCAGGCAGAGCTCCTGACACAAGAATTGATGAAATAATGTTCATTATGGAGTTATGTAAATCTACCACTTCCTAATTTAAATTACTCCATACAAGAGGTCATACTGCCTTATTTAAACACAAACAACAACAAAACCACAACACTGATTCCTCTGGTAAGTAAGTCCATTTGCAAATCATTCCTTTGTGATTTAAAATTTTTGCTTTCAAGTCAAGAGCATTCTTATAAGAGCAGTTTCCCAAGCTAAGGAAATATTTCAGGTAGCCATTAACCTTGAAGTATTATATGCTATTATTACATTTACATGAAATTAACCAGTACATTTAAAGGAGGTCTGTACCATTCTGATAAACTGAACTTCTGCGAAAGCAGACTTGACTGGCAGTGAAGATCTCTGTAGCACAGGAGGACATTTGATATGAATTACTGCAGTAAATTCATGTCCCATACTGACAGTGAAGGGACAGTGACTGAGAGGCTCTGCTGTAATTATCCCAGGCTTTTGTTTGCTCGCCTAGGGAGTAATCCTGGTGCCTTGAAATAGCTGTCTAGCGTTGCTTATGACACCTCCTGATATTCAAAACAATCAGATGAGATTGACAGACATGATGCTGAGTTTACAGGAGCCCTATATATCCAGAGTGGCTGTTGAAAGTCAAACACCTTGGGCCTTCAAAACTACTCCAGGTAATTACTCTCCTATGCTGGAGTCGCCTGTAACAATAAGTTAAATCAGTCTCTTACAGAACTAGTGCAGCATTAGGAGTGGAGAGCAGTTGGGTCCACCCTGCTTTGCACAAGGCAGTACAGAGCCATCACAAAGGATCTAACCATTGTTTTGGATATGGCTTTGCGTGTGATTCCCAAGGACTGAGGCCACATGTTGCTAAAATACAAACACAGAACAGAAGAACAGCCTGTCTTAAAAAGCTGGCAGCAAATGATCTGCAATCTGATCATATTTAGACTCTCATTAAATATTGAACTTTGAGATGGTGAAGGCATCATTTGACTAACAGCAAATCAAGCAACAGTGGATTCTGTCTTTGCAGGAGCAGCAGTGAAACCATCTTACATGTGAGTGAGCCCTGCTGCATTGACCCTAGGGGAACATGTGTTTCTATGGGATAAACAAAAACTGCAACATAAATGACCAAAATTGCTGCTAAATCAGGCTGCTGTGTGGTCACTGAGCCATAATATCCCTCAGATGCCTCTCTTCATGCTGCCAAGAGTCTCCTCATGCATAAGAAACAAACACAGATAAATGAGTTTTAAAACACCTTTCTCTCCATTGTATTGGAGGAGGTTTAGAAATGGTACAAGATTTTATGTGCAATTAGCTGAGATTTTTTTTAACCACACTATCACTATTCAGCAACTTCTGTCAAGACAAGCCCATTTTTATGTTGTCTTCTATCTCTGCATATGGAAACCAAAGAGTGGTATGCCCCTTGTAACAAATGGATGCAACACATATCAAAGCTCACTGCTGCAACATGCAGCGATAGAACCCAAATGGGTTTGCATAAGCCCAAGTACATAGTTATGTCCAGACAGCAGTTGCTTCCATGATAAATTGTTTGTGCTTTTTGTCCTGATCTACATACTAGAAAATATCAAGCAAGAAAATAGAACAGAAAATAGAAAATAATGCCACTTTTTTGGTAATAAAAAATATTCTTTTTTTGTATTTTTTTGTTTAGTAATATATATATATATATTTATTTTTTTTCAGTGAAATTGGCTGGTATCATGAAAGTCAATTCTAATCTTTTTATTCAATATCTGATGTTTCTATGATCTATTAAGTGGCATCCCTGTTGATTTCATTTGCTTATTGGAAAACTTCAGCCAATTAAATGCCAACAGTAGAAGTACTAGAAGTATTAATTACAGAAATACCAGAACCAGCAGTGGTGGATGATGGGGGCACGGGAGGAGGAGGACAAAAGCACAAAATAAGATATATTAAGTTATCTTATAGTAACACTTTAAAGTGTGTGCCTGGGGTCCTACTTTTGTAAATCAATTCCAGGTGGAGGTCAGGAGTACTCCATTTACCATGATAAAGCTTCATCAGTCTGTGGTAATCTGACATTAATTAAATTGTCACTGCCCTAGGATTCACTTGCTTGTGGATTGTGATATGCCTTGACTCTTTGTGTAGCTGTTTCACGCTGTCACTAACTTACTGTTACTCAGTTTAAATTCTGTATTACACACTATAGCCTTCAGCAGGAAGTTATCTTCCACAGACAGTATGGGTCCCTGGGAACACACTCTTCTAGGAAATGGGAACACCTCCCAGCATACAGACATGTGATTAATTCAGTGAGAATTCCTCAGAAATCAACTGAATGCTGAGTCCTTTGGGAAGAAATACTAGAATATTCACAACTGAGGCTTTACTGGGATAACCCAACACTTTAGGAAAAACTATCAACAATGTGAGATTTGTGGTGAGTTTTCATAAAGAGTATTGTCCATTATCTGGATGGAACATATTTGGAACTAAGACTTTCCTTTCGCCTGTTACCAAGACAAAATAAACCGGTATAACTGACTGGAATAAATCAAGGTTTGTCATGCACGCTTGTACATGTTTCATGTTGCCTATATATTCTTCAACCACTTCCTGAATATATTCTGTTTCTTTCATCTCCAACCCATCTGTGTGTTTCAATTTTCATTTCATGGAGCAATAGAAAGTGGCAATTAAAGCCCATCCTTTTGTTCAGCCTGGTGCTCAGGATTCAACACAAGGTACTGAACATGCATGATCCCAGGCAAGCTCAATGTTACCAAGGCTAGCATTTCTTCCAGTCCTAAACTGTTGCTCCTAAAACAAAAATCACAAAGCAGGCCTCAAAAGTTCAAGGCTGGTTTGTATGGTGGATTTTGTATTTGCCTCCTTCTCTGTTACAATTATTATTATAATTTACTAACTTTCATTTTTCCTTAGAAGTCAAAATCTTATCGTAAAATTGGATGACAAAGTTTTTGAGTAGTTACAGATCCTGAATCAGCTTCTTCATAAGAATACCATGTAGCACAAAGGAGCTGGTATCATTGTGCTGTTGCTAATATTAACTGAAGACAGAGTCAAAGAAGCGGTGGATCAGAGAAGGCTGAAGAAAGGCATCCATATAATGAATATAGTATGATAACTATGGCACTAATGATATGTGAATTTTCCACTGGGTCAGAATCCCAGGGCTTGTTCAATCATGTTGTAGCTGTGCAGCACAACAAAAGCAGGGCTTATCCAAATGAGCTCATTCTCAGGATCAACATTCAGTTCAGGGCAACAGTCAGTGCACATCAAATACATTTGTTTTGAGAAGTGGCTTACTGTTCTCTGCAAGCCCGAGCAGCAGTATTCCAGGTGACCTTGTGATTTACTACCAGTAAATAGCAGTTCCCATCATGATGACTCCATCCGGAGGTACATTTTTTTGGGCTCACCTCCTGAAATAAAAGATGAAAAGGCAGAACAGACTCTTACTCACAGTAGTCTAGCTCTGCCCTAATAATCAGGCTTGAAGCTGAAGGTGCTGCTGATGGCCTCTCCAGAATTTGACTGAACATGAAAATTGGTGTATGTCAATAAAGCTAAAGCATCACTTAGAAGATGTAAAGAATTACATGCCTGCCAGAGGACTCCATGGTTTATAACCAATAGCATAAAGCTGACACAAAGTCTCGGATCCAGAAATCCTCTTAAGAGAGGACATTGCTTTGGATAACGTTTCCTGGCTCCTACAGTTTGCGTAGGGAATGAGGTATAACAAAAATTCAGTATGAGATCATGAGTGGCAAGGGAGGGTGTTTGCTTACAGAATACCTAAGTCAGTTGATTTTACTAAATCCTATCAACAAGCATCAAGACAACTGTGTCCATGCAGTTTGTCTAGAAGCACCTGTGGGTGGCAGAAACAAAAGGTAGCCACAGCAATCAAGCTCTCATCTTGTCTCTGGGAATTTTCACTTCTGTTGACAGTAAACCTGACTCTGGACAACTTTTTTATCCCCTGCAAGCACAACTCAGTAGTTGTTACAAGCTGAACCTTTGCTTCAGAGTCTTAAGCTTTGCAGACTCCATGCTCTGCTTCAGATGCATAGTAATGGTGACCTTTTTACCTTGCTTTGGGAACTCCAGAATGTCCATATTATCCCATCACACTGAAATAACTTCTGAGTGCTTTCTTCATAATGCAAAAGCCCCTTCAAATCTGGTGTACAAGCCTTTGGAAAGGAGTTGAAGTCCTGGAAAAGGGAATGGCAGTTGAACATTTGAAGGGAAATAATTACAAAAAACAAACAAGCTACATGAAACAGATGCAACAGCTCTTATATTAAACTTCATGACATAAAAACTGCAAGGATTAAGTTGTTAATTTATCTGCGTATTGTTCAAACTCAGTTTTGGAACAGGGGGAGTTATGCTTCTGATCTCAGAGGCATTAACTAATTTTGGAAAAGAGCACGACTGAAAGCAGATGGTAAAAATTCCTATGAAAGAAAAGGTTTCATACTTCATGGCTTGAGCGTGGTTCAGATGCCAGTTCTGCCTTATCAGCTTGTGGGATTTCTGTCTTCCTAGAGGAGACGACATTTATCTGCGTTTGTGCTTGATTAATTACTGACACTTCAGCCTTCTTGTTTGCTTTAGCTGATGAGGTATCATCCTCCATTTTGAGTGATACCATCCCATGATACTTGGATTTACAGTACCACAAACAAGCAAAACAGGAGAGGAAAAACTGTGAGTTAGCTCTTACAAGCAGCTTTTAAATACTGCCTCCCCTACCTCCTCACCCCCACCCCCAGCACAGTACAAACTGTTGGAAATTAAAGGGGAATTATACCAATGAAAAAGGAAGATACACAGAAAAATAAAGCATTGGTCACAATGAACAATGAACTTGGTTAGCAAGTTGTTCTGCATAAAGTCCGGAAAGAGCAGAATCAGAAAAAAATCACAGAAATGTATGAGCAATATTCACAAGATTCTTACTTTGAAAAATACATCCGTTCCATTTCTAAATACAGATGAAGGATGAACCTGAAAAAAAAAAAAAAAAAAAGTACAATAGCAGAATGAGATGGACATATTCATACACTAAAGAAACAAAAATTTTAGTAAGATGTGCTACATGGTCTAAATTACAAATTATGCAGAACGATTTTTAGCTCTTTCTCTCTGAAAATGCAGACTAATGACTTTTGAAAACAGCCGTCAAAAATCACATGTTAAAAGTGTTTTTATAGACAGATTGCATTAACTTTTAAGCAGAACATGACAAAACCAACATAGCTTAAATAGGAAAACTCAATGGGCAGGCGCTGTTCACTGTTTAAACTAACAGTATTTTTACCCTTACGACTTCAGGACCAGTTTTACAGTTTCCATGCATTGCCATGACTCGAGTGTCTTTAGTGAAACCTTGCATCTTTCTTCAAGCTGACCCATAACTTAGACAAGATTAAAAGCTTCATGATTACTGTTGTTGCTTGTTGAACTTTTCCTTGTCCCAGCTGCTTTCATTCCTCTCCCTCATACATGGATCTTCAAAATCAGGAAATGTTCCTGTGCATCCTCACTCCCCAGCCTCCTTCACAGTATTTTTAGTCCTGTAACACTTAGGTCTGACTCAGGACAAATGCAAATAGGTAGTACCTATTGCACAGTCAGGTAGAATCACTTCAGAAATAGGACAATTAAATGAAGATATCAAACCCCAATGAATATATAAATCAGTCCATCACCACACAACAGAAGTGTCTTACTATTCTGCGATTTCCTATCACTCTCAGCCTGGTCCTTGACTGATTCACCAAGCTGTGCTCCTGGAGTGTGTCCCCTCTGTGCTCTCTCATCCCTTTGGAAGGAGGTGGTGGGATCCCTTCCAAGTGAACGCTGCCAGGCCTGGAAGGTGATGAGGAGCCTGAGGAAACTGCAAACAGCGTGCCTCTCCTCCAGAAGTCATGCTTGCTTTGGCCAGAAGAATGAAAAGAGCTGCACTGACCTGAAAGCATTAAAAATGGCAGATGGTCAGTTCTAGCTGCACGATCAGATAACTGGTCATGTTGACATGGCCACATAAACAGCTTGTCCTTAAAAGTTGGATGATTCTTTCACTTGATGTGGCTGATTTGCTGTTTGTTCAATCATCCCTGTTTGTGGGGTTTTCATAATTATAACTGTCTATGACTGCAGCTATCTGTATATATACATTTTTTTGCATAATGCATCTACATAATCATAGATCAGAATTCCTACCAAGTGTCTGCAGAAGATACCTGTTTTCATGCATAGATTAGGGTTTGGAGAGCTGGATTTTTGGGCAGGGATAGGTATCTTTAACTAATATTGGTGATACGTCCAGCATGACCAGTCAATTTCCTCTTCAGAAACCCAGGACACTATTGTTCCTTCAAATTAGTTGTGACAATTAACTCCTGACGTATGTTATGAATGTTAAAGAGAAACTAGATCTCAAATTTTAAATGGAATTTTGGTAAAATTAAGCCTCATTCATTACAACACATGTATTTAAAATACTGTTTCACTAAGTACCAGACGGGAAAATATTATTCACCTTTTACAGGCCTCAGCTGCTTTGCTAATCATTTGTATTTTTCTTCAGTTGTTACTTTTTGGTGTGCTTTTAGGCACACCACATTTGGCTACTGAAAAACACAATAATAATAAAGAAATAAAGGCCTAAAGTCTGTAATAATCACTGCTGTGCACTGTAATGTTGTGGCCTGTGTTTGCTATGCATTAGAAAATGTATTTCTAAGAGCTGTGTCTCGTTATGGTTCTTTTTAGAGAGGAAAATCAATCTTTTTTCAGAGGTGTGTAACCACTGTTGTACAATCACTGAAAAACAATTCTAATGGACTCAACAATCTTTTTTTTTTCCACTTTAATAAATAAGAACTGAACTCATGTTGTTATGAAAAGTGGTTTGTTTCCCCCCACTCTTCTCATTTTGTACTTGTTGCTTTCTCCATGCTGTGTTTCCTAAGAGGATGAATATGATTGTGTGAGAGAATAAATGGTCTGCAACTGCCAAGCCTGTTTTCTCTGAAAAGAAAGTAAGCATTTTGATGTGAAGGTAAGTGTTAGGAACAACTTGTGGTTGGCAATAAGTAGCTACCTAGCCAAGATTGTCCCACAGTTTAAAGATGAAGATCAAAAGAGAATACCTCCTTTTGAGTCCAAAATTTTCACTACAGCTTTTGTCCTGGTGCCAAGAACAGCATTCACAGGGGAGTTCAGAACTACTTCAAAGACTTCATCATCTTCCTCTAATCCATCAAGGGTAATTGCAATATTCCACATCTTGGTTGACATTCCTAACAGAAATAAACATTTTAATTACTCTTTAATTGCTATTTCAATCAATTGGAGCGTCAAAGAAATATATTAATTAACATGTCTGTAGCTAGAATGGAGTAGCTTATGTATGTTATTGTACTCCCACCAACTGACTGGACTCCTGCTGTTCTCCCAGATAACTTTAGGTTTGAATTTGCTCTTGAACAAAGATGATTCATTTCAAGTGCATACACTGTAACAAAAAGCTGCTTTAGACACTGCAAATGGCAATACAATACATAAATTTAGGACTTCCATTGGGATTTTCAGGAGGAAATGTAGCATATGCTTTTTATGCTGAAAACTTGGAGATGGAACAGCTATTCAAAATACCTGCAAATGGATCAAAGAGTACATCCAAAGAGGACATTGAGTACAACCTTTCAGAAGGCACAACGTACACCTGGTTACAAAATTTGGCTTAGTTGCTTAAATTAAATTCTAAATTAATATTAGGCTTGCATTAGTGAAAATGAGAAAAGATTATTCCAAGATAAAGGACTAGACTAGTTATTAGCCAAAAATCTTCAGAATTTGTCTGTGAAAGGTCAGAGGTATTATGGCAGAAGCCAATCTGTGTACACATTGTTGTAACATACATTTTTCAGGAACTGTTTCTGCATTACAAATTCAATGCTAAGGTCCAGAATTAGTATCAAAGACACAAGGTCAGCATGGAAAAATAGAATCTCTACAACCTTATGACACCTTCTGTTGCTTCCAAGTTGCTTCTTTCCAGTTTACATTCTTTGGCCGAGAGCAGCTCAGTTAGTACCTACAGATCCATAAGCTTCAATAGGGCTGCCTTTGTTCTAACTTTCATTTAGAATTTATTGATATAAGTCTAATGTGTCAAGTGGTTCCATCAACTGGCATGGTTGAAGTTTGCTTTTAAAACAAACCTGTCAGGCTTATGATTAATAAATACAACTAATGAAAAAATATCAAACCTCTTGAATTGAGAACTGAGAAATTGATGCCCTTGATGTACCATTCTAGAAGGTCCTTCCAGGTAAACCTAAGCAAAAGACTTTGAGAGACAGCCACCCAAAAAGACCGTGTGAGGGAGCTCATCTGTTTGAAAGAGAAGCTGGCCAGAAAAGGGGAACAGTGTGCACCTCTCCTGTCCATGCTCACAGTCAACTTTCATGTGGCTCACCATCATAATCAGGAAGCCCCATGCTTGGAGAATCTGCTGCTACCAGCAGAAAAGGAAAATTCAGTAAGGGGACTTACACAGAAAATCTCTTTGCAATGATTTCTAGCCATTTTCATCCAAAGTTGGGTAAGTTTGATTGCACAATACATTACAGGAAGGAGAGCTGGAGTGATGTGTAAGCACAGTGTGAAAGATTTTTTCACACTGATCTCTAATCTTTCTTCCATCTTCTAATTTAACATGAAAAAAAACAAAATCTAATACTAAATATAGGGCATTAAGAAGTGGCTCACTGGTTTCAGAGATTTCATGTGTGCTTCAGAGTATTGAAAATTAGGGCAGAGTTCCACCTTTCCCCCTCCCCACCCCTTTTTTTTTAAATTGTTGTCTGCTGAGGTACATTTATGATTTCATCCATGGAATACAGTGCTACATAATCTCCAAAGGATGTGATGCTTTTTTTTAATTAACATAAAAGCTGAGGTGCTAAAGTAAAAATCTCCAGGCTGGAACTGACTTGCTGTATTCCCAGTATCTGTTTTCCAAATGAAGATCAGCACTTGGACTAATTTTTACCACCAAATATGTGCAATTTATTTCAGCCTTTTACCCATTCTATATTTTTTCTCCTCTGTAGCCACAGTGACTTTCTGCCATTGAAATCTTACTCCTGTCAGCAGTGGCATAACCTCCACTATCATTGCAGGGCACACCCAAGGGGCCCTCTGTGGACTCCATTTTCTAAACCCTAATAAATCTTAGTCTATGCCTACAGAATGCATTCCAAAAATCTCCAAAAGGCTAGCATATGCAAAGGGACTGATTGTGATAGCATATGGGTTTTCATACCTAGATAATCTATTTATATGGGCAAAAACTTTCTTTTTTCTTTTATTTCCTTTGCTTTGTTTTGCTTTGCTTTGCTTTGCTTTGCTTTGTTTTTTTCCTTTCTTTTCTTTTTGGGGTGAAGCTGAATCTCTGAATGGTAAATTGTGAAACTCAGTCCCAGAGTATTTTTTCCCCAGAGACACCCAAAGCATGACAATAATGAAGCCCACAGCACTGCTGGAAAATGAACCCAAGTATCTTTAATCATATGTTGCTCCTCTAGCTATGAAAACATAACACATTGCACTCACCAAAATGAGACTTTACACCTTCAAAATCAGTGAATTTGTTTTAAAATTAGTCAGTGCACTTGTTTGTACCTGGATCAAACTGAACAAGTTTGGAGGGTGTCACTGTGAAGTCCTTTCCCAGCACTGCAGATATTTCATTGACCTGCAAAGAAACCAAGCAGTACGTAGCATGCTGCAACCTGTTTCACCAAACCAGTGTGCTGTGCTGTGTGCTGAAGGTACATCATTTCCCCACAGGGTCCCAACAAGACATGCTTACCTGAATGTGTGCATAGGCTGAAAAACAAGATGAAGGCCTAAAGAATGAATGTTGTGATATGGAGCTGTCATTCAATGCCAGTCCAAGGAAGAAATTAACAGACTCCACTGCTTATTATTAGTTTCCAGTTAAAACTTTTGGTTTTAGCTTTACCTTCACCGCGATGAAGGCAGAGTCGGCAGAGTGTCCTGCCCTGGTGATTTTCAGGGACAGCATCCCCACATTCTCGCACACCTCATACTCAGTCTGCTGCATTTCAATCCGAGACCACTGCAGCTCCAGCCTGTAGGCAGAGGAAGGAAAGCCTGCATAGAACAAAGCCACCTTTCCCTGATGCCCCCACCCCCTGCTGTCTGCAGGGTCAGTAAGGTGGCGCTTCTCTCTCTCGACTGTTAGTCTAGCCAATACACATACTCAGTCTTTCCTTCCAAGTCAAAACATTTGTGTGTGATTTGGCTGATTACAAAGTGAGAAGCGGTTAATAAATCTTCCAGTTGAGCCCTTGTCTGACTCAAGCCAAGCTTAAACTTTTTTTTTTCTTTTCTTTTTTTTTTTTTTTTCAGAACCAGAGAGGTTCTGCAGTGGGTTTGGAAAGAGCATGGTTTGTCCATAACATCAGACAGGCCAAGCAATACAGGCTATTGTGGTTCCCACCATCCCTGTAAGTTGTTTTTATTGTCACTCCACAGTATTCACTCTGCAACACCCTCCTTTCTTCCCACTTCATTTCTCCTCCAACTCACCTCCTCTAGTGTATGGGCACATTCCAGGACTTCACTGCTTCTATATGTGTGTTCACCCCACAACCCTTCATTTCATACTCTGTGTGCTTTTCTCCTCAACCATAGAAGTAGCTGAATCCAAACTTCTCATATAATCAATTTTAGAATGGCCTATAGGGAATGTGACTGAACCTTAGAGAATCCCATGCTGCACAGGGTAACCAATAAAGATCTCACCTTTTGAAAAGCTGTAATAAAAATTAGTGAGAGTCAGAGATGAATGAGACAGAGCAGAATGAAGGAAAATGAGCTGCACTACTTACAAATCAACCTCAACTTTTCCAAAACAAACTTCTAGAACTTTTGGGGTTGAATAGCTCTAACACTAGTGGAATTTTCTTCCTGTCCTCCTAATATCTGCTGATACCCAAAAGTAGACAACCTACTTAGAAACTGATTTTCTTAAGAATACTAATGACCTGATGTGGTGCAGCAGTCAGACAAAAGGTGGGATTCAATTTTGATAGTATCAACATACACATCAACTTTTCTTTTGACCCATTGACAATTAAGTGATGAACTATTAAAAAAAAAAAAAGTCACAAGCTTATAAATAACATAATGAAAACATTATTTTTCCTTAAAAGACAAATTCCTCTTTGTTCTGGGGTCCAGTGCAGCTATCAAGTATTTTCTACTTCTCTGAAATTCCTTTTTCCCATAAGAATAGTGTTTACTGTTTTCGCTTTTCCTAAAAACTATATTATGCATTGCTATTTATATGCAAGAACCTATGCTTTCCCATGAAGAGTGACTGCATATTAATATTGTGTTTAATATCAGAACATCTCTGAGCAAGCACAGGGCAGCTGGGAAGCGCTCAGGTTAACTTCGTTCAGATGTGTTTGGATATAGGGACATCTTTTGGCTTAGTGTGTAACTGCGGAAACGCTGGCTCCAGCTCTGCTCAGCCTCAATCCTCTGTCGTTCAAGTGCTTTGCAGAGGGGCCTGGAGCCTGAAGCCATCTGTCTGCTCCTTCCCCTTTTTCCTCTCCAGGGAAGTTTCCTTCCCTGTGATTCCTGGTTTGTGGGAACCAGTTCAGCACAGGGAAATAGTGTCAGTTATTTTTCTCAGTTACTTCAGATTAAATAAATTGAACATTCAGTCCTATTTGCAGAAATAAGAAAAACATTGTCCCCTTTGGAAGAGTTACTCCCACTTTCAGTCTTTATCTTCAAAGTACAGTTCAGATGATAACGCAGTGTGCAATTTTTGTACAAAAGGTTTACCATATGTCAAAAGGAAGATTGGATAATATGCCTAGTTGAAACTGTAGAATTACATGACAAAGAGAATGATGTGTGCCCTCCACCTTCTTTCATTGCTCTTTTGAAAAATTATGACTCCCCTAGCTTTTACAGCTGAAGAGCATCTCCACCATCGTGATCTTAGGCCTGTGGCACAAAGTGTGCCCCAGTCTGACTTGAAACTAACCCTTTGTATTTTGCTACCCCGAGGGGAAGAAAACTTCTCTATTTTTTAGCAAAAGAAATGGTGGTTTGAGTCTTTGAAACCATAGCTACATTCAGTCCTGCTCAGCATCCAGGCCAGCACTGATTCATCTGACCTTAGCCACCCCAGAGCCCTGAGAGATGATGTGCACAGTGCATTGCAGCGCTCAAAACCGACAATCAAACTTACATTTGGGGAACTGCTGAATTTCCACTGGGATCTGTGACCTGAAACTCCAAGTTGTCTGAATTCATCTCCCACAATGGATTGATGACATAAAGTATAATCTTGCTATTTACATCCTTTTGGCTAAACCCTTCATGGATAAATCCACCTGGGAAAGAAAGGAAAAGTCAAAGTAAGTTAAAAGTCTTTTAAGTCTACATGAACCATTTAGCTCATACAGACTGTTTTCAATATTTCTCTTTGTTAAACACTTAGAAAACTTTGAAATTCCAGAAAGCCGTTTTTATAACTACACAGCAAGTTTATTATCGCAGTTTATTGTAAGCCCCAGTCAATTAGCTCCTGTGTAACATGTTGATCAAGTGACCTAGTTTGATATTCATTATTACTCTCCTTGTCATAAAGTTCAGAGTACATATGCTTTATTCTAGTTTGCTACCTCCTATACCAATCTTTCAAGCTTCCTTTCCTAAAAGTAGTTTCTGAACTGCAACTACTAACAATCTTCTCAAACTTTGTAAGGATTAATGATGAACATGACACTCAGGTCTTGGTGCAAAAGCTTTGCTACTACAATCAAACCTTACACAAAGTTTGCTAAAAATTTTTGCTTTCCTCTGCCAAGCAACTATTAAGAGGATAGGTTTTGAAATCTGGTCTGATTATGTCCCAAAAGACAGAGATAGAGATTACAGAATACAGTACCCGATGTTACATTTTCCAGGTAGCCATAACGAGGACCTCGTAAAATCTTAAAAATTATTTTGTCATCTTCTGTATTGGGATCAGATGCCTTCAGGGACCTGGCAGTAATATAGATCCCATAATTACCATTCTTCAGCAGTTCCACATCAGTACAGCAGTGGAGGTGAATAATTTTTGGCGCCATTTTGTCCGTATGATCCACCTAAATCAAAGGTAGATAAATGTATATTTATTTTACAGTATCAGGATATTCTTTATCCATTCTTCTTTTGCTACAAGCACAATAGCCTGCTTAGGAGAGCAACTATCATTTCGATTAGCTGTCTGCTCCAGAAGAAATCTGACTTCCAGTTAAGTACTATTTTCCATGTGAGGTTTCCAGGCTCTATTTGCACAATTGCTTTCTTCATGCAGTGAGATACAGCACATACTTGAGAGAGCAACACAGGTTCTGTGTATCTCTTTCCTATATCTATCTATATATATATATAGATATGTATAAATATTTCTCTGAGTAATGTATTGTGGTAATTACTTAGAACATGGAAAGCAAGCCTTTTAGCTTATAAATATCTCTGCTAAATAATAGGCTGCAGCAAGTAGCAATTCTAAGGTTAGTCAAAATCAATGCATTTCCCATCTTATCATGCTATATATCTCTTTTAAGTAGGCCTGTGGTCACACTTGCCTGAATGGTGAATGCCACTGGCTCGATCTGCACCCTCCCATTCACGATGAAGCCTTGATTAGTCCTATCTGTTGCAACAAATGTAAATCTGTCAATCTGGGAATTCCCACCTCGGTGCTTGTATGCAACATCCATGTTGTCCACATCTCTCTGAGTGAAATTGTACTGTAGCAGCACAACCCCTCGATAATAGAGATGACCATATTGGGGGAGCTGAGCCAAGAGGAAGGTAAGGTCTTCATTAGCTGTGTCTGGATCTGAAAGCTGCAGGACATCAGGAGAAAGGAGTACCATAGCACCTTCCACTAATCTTAACCCTGTGTTCCTAGATAGTGTCGGCAAAGCTTGGTCGACTGTCTCCAAGGAGATCATGAATGTCCCATGCTTAGTCCTCAATCCATTGCTGATGATGAATCTGGCAAAAAGAGGCAAGGTAGTCTTCAACATGTGTCTTGATTCACCATCTACTGAAATGAAATGATAATACACACCTTTACTACAGGACTTGCCTGTGGTGATACTGCAAAACACATGAAGACTAGAGCTGATTTGAGATCAAACCCAGACTGTGGGGTAGATGTATAACTTAAAAACATGAAATAATATAGCCAGGTATATTGTCTCTGCAGGAATATGACAAAATGACAAAGGAATGGCTTTGAGAATACACCTGTCAGTCTCAGCAGCCCTAACAGAGTTGATCTGATCTTCTAGCTCAGGTAGAGATGGAGCATGTCTAAAATGAAGGGATGGTACAGATACAGATGTTTTCTTTAACTATATTTTCACCTGGTTACCTGCCAGTGGTAAAGTGAATATGCTGGCTTTGCCTACAAATTGCAGAAAGAGGTGTGTAAAGTACATAGTCTGCCTGGACAATGGTTTTGTTCTGTTCACTGCTGCAAACCTGTTATACCTAGTAGTCCCCAAACTACCTAAAGAAGACAAAGTGGGAAAAGAAATGTAGAGATCCCTCCTCATCTTGCTTTATAGCCTAGATTGGGCACTAGCTGTAACTATACATTTCTGTATATTCAGAGGAACTGAATTATACTTCTTTACAAAACACCAGTGCAATTTCACTGAAATATTAAGAATATGATGAATATATTGGGCAGAACTGTACAAGTTGCTAGGGTAATTTAAAAAAATATAGATGTCCATACCAGATTTTTATCAAAGAGTCACATCTGCAGGATTATTACTCTGTGTTGGGAATTTCTATTAATAGCAGCATAGTTTCTTATACTTCTCTCCCAAGCTCTTCAGATATACTAAAGACATGATTATGCTTTATAGTTATTTTTCCTTTCCTGAACTTGAAAAAGATAAAGATACCCATGTATGGAGAGAAAATCTGTTGGAAGTCTACCAGCTGGATATGGGCTTTTCAGTATAAGTGACAGCATGCTCTGCAGACATTTATTATCAATTTTTTTTGGCAGATAAAAATAAAGAGACAATCAGTCTTTTAACCTTCAATATTCATTCTAGGTTTCACTGCCAATATTACTACTTAAATATTTTTGTCTGAAAGCAGTAACATTGCACATTGTCATGCCTGTAACAAACCCCATTGACAGTATAGAAAAAATAAAAATTGTCTTGGAAGCATCTCATCAATCTTAATGTCACATCATCATAAAATAAATGAGACTTACCTTTCTCTCTACAGAGCTTTCTCTGGTTGTGGCACATAGTACTTACTAAAGCTTCTTGGAGATTGGTTTTCATGCAAGTTTGTTCTGTCTGAGTGAGAACAGAGTACCAAAAGGCCTTGTTTGGACCAAGGCTGCCTTGCAAAGAAATGCTGTTCACATTACCTGTTTTTTTCTTAGTTAGTTTGGTTTGGTTTGGTTTGGTTTGTTTTTTTTGCACAATCCTTTGAGTACACATACAGCACCATTTAGACTGTTGATCTTGTGAGGGACATCACTGCATGCCAAAGAAAATATGTGGGCCAACCTAGCTGTCTGCTTTCCATCTATACCATATATATATATACCATCTATCTTCTACCATATATAAGTGGAATGAGGACTAGTTGAGGTTTAGATTTTTCCCCTATTCTTGCTTTCTTGCCTACAGATTTCAGAGTATTAAAAGAATCACAGTGTCAGAACCTGGTCTGCTGTTGTGCGCTTGGAATATTTGACCTTCAGTAGGTCATGATGTACCTTACTGTGTCACACAGGCTGTCCATCTAAAACTCCTCACTGACTTCACCAATGCTGGATGATTAGGGCTTGATCAACTTGTAAGCAGGCAAAATGCCATGAAGCAGATGGGAATGAGCATAGGCAGAGCAGGGACAATATAGCAGTTAGAAATATGTTTACTGAGGATGGTTTTCCCAGCTGGGAACCTAGAGACATCTGTCTGCACTGACCTAATGCTATTGTGCCAATGGTAAAAGCGTTGTGCTATTAGTAATCTAGCTAAAATCAAATACAGAATTAGAATAATGATGATTAATAGTATGCTAAAGGGGAAGAAAAAAAAAAAAAGAAAAAAAAAAAAAAGGGGGGGGGCAAAATATATTCAGTGAAGACCTTATCTATATCTCAAAAAATCTGGGAGATTGCAGCTGAAGTGAGTTTTGTCTGGTTTCTTTGAAGGCTGTACAATCATTTGGATAATATCTGAAACCATATGCAAGTGAAAGACTTATAGAGGGTAATTCAGTTTGTGAAAGTGAAGATTCATCCGGAATCTTCTACAGAATACCAGACAGGAGCATACCTCTTGATTATACATCAGATTGAACGTTGCAATGTAAATGTTGTATGCCAATTGATTTTACAGGTGATGAAGCTATCTGTGTCCAAGAAGTCCTTTTTTTTCTGTACTTGGGGAGACTTTGTTTTTTATTTCTGGTTTATGGCTGCTTCATCTTTCCCCGGGGAATGGAGAACAGCCAATATTCTCCTCACTCTGATGAAATTTAGGGTAAAACTCCCAGGCACAGTTAGGAGGACATGTTGCATGGTTTGATTTCACCATTACCAACATTTCATGCTTTCTGCAGTTCGATGGCAATAGAGTTGGCTGTAGGACCTACCATCTGTCATGGCATTTAAAAGATAAAAATGGAATCATAAATAGTGCCAGCTCATTACAAAATTGAGCCAGCGTGTCAAAATGGAGGACATTAGCATGTTCTTTTAGCATCCTGCTGCCAGCATCTGATGTCAGGTTGCTAATCACTTGAAGTCATCTGTCCAAACAAGCACTGCCAAATCTTTCTTCCAGGCCAGCAGCACCAAACAATACAGGCAAATTTATGACCAAAGAAAGTATTTCAGTGGAAGGTAAAAATCTGATCTGTTCATTTCCCAAACCCCTACCCACCCACCCTCCATAATTACCCATATAATTAACATAACCATTCCTAGTTTAAATAATAATAATATTCTGCCACAAAAATTATATGCCTATACAAAACCAAATTCTTTGCCAAAAGCTAACTTCAAGGAACATCAATTATTGTGATTAAAATATTTATCAAATATCAATATTTATTAAAACATCATAACCTTACTTTTATTAAAGCTGATTTTCTAATTTGTTTTCAGCTGTTGTCCTAAACAGAGGACATTGACCATATATATGCACATTTGCCCTAGAATTATTTCATCTGTTGTCATTAGTCTGGTAAAAGTCATACTGATGCAAGCCACTTCTACACTACCTATTCCACTACCTATTTTAGAGTTGGCACAACTGCAGGTTTTCTTGCCTGAGATAATTTTAGTTTTGGTCATAGTGTTTTACAACTGTATCACTAAGCTTCCATGTAGCCAAAGAATATTCATTCACTTTTCCTGTTATGACAAGTGGATCAGACAAATCTCATAACTATAGGCATCTGAAAATCTGAATTTCTGTTGCACTGAATTCAGTGGAAGGGATAGTTTTAAGTGTTTCTACTGAGGAATGTCTCAAAATTACATTTGGCTTAACTATAGATAATGTCACTGGAGCTGCCCCACTGGAGCAGTGTCATAGGGAGGTTTATTTGGTGTTTCCACACCCCACTTCCTTGGCTTCCCTCCAAAAAAGCTCTTAAAATGGTTGATGAAACATGTCCTTGTAGCTTCATCATGTATCATGGAAAATGCAGTAAGGATTCTATTCTTGTGAGTGTGAATACCTCTGAATTGCAACCATTAGGAGTGACACACTCCATTTCTCATAGTCACAAATGAAAAATAATTGACTTTTCCTGTGGAAAATCTGAATTTTAAAGGAACTTCTTTTTCCATCAAAGTCTCTTTGATGGAAAAAAAAAAAAAATGCTAACAAGAAGTTATCATTCTTTGATTAGAAACATTTTATTTACTTCTGAACTATTTCTTTCTGAATTTTCTCTCTTTTACAAAAATTCCCTTGAGACAATACATATCCCCTGTTTTTACCTGAGGATAATTCATTGCATCATTCCATTCACTAAACAAGGGAAGTTTGTTTAATAAAATAAGGAAATATTCACTTTAGGATTGAGCCTAGTCTAAGCTGGTATAAGGGAAAGGTTCAGAATAATGTGAAGCAAATTTAAATATCACTAGACTGCTGAATTGCACCTATAAGTAGCCAGGTTTGCTCAAAAAAAAAATCCAGTTGTCTACATGATTTTATGAGCCATTCGAAGCTAGTCAGAATTGATTAATTGTTTCCAGTGTGTTGAAGAACAACTTATGCATTCAAAAAGCCTACAAGAGAATAGACGTAATAAATACGAATGGAAAAGCAAGCAGTTGGCTAATAGCTGGATGAAGCTGTTTTATCACATCCATCCACAGCAAGAAACCAAAGGAAATTTACACAGAGGATACTCTTGGTCCATCTCCCCCACTTAAATCTTAACATCTGTGTATGCTTGGGTGCTATGATAATATTTAAGCCAGTATCATTAATTGCATGTGCCTCTGGCTACTATTTAAACATCAATTAGAAAATACAGTTATTACTAAGGCAGTCACAACAAGCTATATAAATATTGAATATTCCCATAGAGCTTCCTCTTTCTTTTATTTTTTTTTTCTTTTCTTAGTGGATATGCAAGAAATACAAGGGGAAAATTGTTCAGATGAGGTTTTGCATGCCTTACCTCAGTGTATCTTCTGGAACAGCTGCCTTAGTGTTGTGAACATAGCAGACTATTTGTCTTGCTACGTCCATTTGACTGAAGCTTGTTATAGGGATTCCAGGGTGGCTGACATACTCTATTTGTCCATACTGTGGAGGAGAAGTTATCACATACAGCAGCTCCTCTGGCTTGTCAGTACCATCCAGTGCAAGCAGGACATCCGTTGTAATGTAACCCCGATCCCCTTTAGGTACTTTGAGAGGTTTTATGAAAACAGCAATGTCTCCTGCAGGATAGGCAAAACAACACAAATATAGTCATACTGAAGTGAAAATTGATCTCTCGTGCATCATTTAGCTATAGGGAAATTCACGTAGGAAGGGACTTCAGGACCCTTCTGCTCAAAGTAGGGTCAGCCATGGTACTAACAATATCCAGTGTTCTCAGAGCTTGATCCCATCAGGGCCTGAAAACCACCAATTGTGGAAAGAACAGAACCTCTCTTGATGTTTGTCTCAATACCCATTCCTAAACTAACATGGTGTTAGGATAGCCTGATCTAATTTAGGGCTTTAATAGCTGTCCAGTGAAGGAAGAGAGACTGTAAGACAACAGCACAAACCTGGGAGGAAGGGCTGTCTTTGAGCTACATTTTTCTTTTCTTATTACATTCTTGTCAGTTTTTTGTTTTGTTTTGTTTTGTTTTGTTTTGTTTTCCTATGCTGTGATTTACTCACATAAGGATAGTTTCAAAAAGATACTGTCAATTATGTTTGAAAAGTAGCTGGGATTCCTTGGAGGCAAGGTGGAGTGCACTGCCTTAGGCAGAGGCTTTTCAAATCTCAGGATGCCTTCTCCAGCACCAGGAGCATTAGGGCTCTGATCATAGTGAAATTTGAGCAGAGAGACTTTGGGGGCTGCAGGGAGACTTGCCAAGGGCCTACATAGTGCTCAGGAAAGTATCAGGACATGCCCTCAGATCATCTTTGTTTCAGAAACAAGCACTGTAAAACATCATCAGGCAGATCTTTACCCTTTTCCATGTCCTTGATATTTATGTAGAAGTCTATTGTTGGGGATCTGTTGTACCCATCCCACAGATAAAATGTGAACCAGTCTTGGTTCTTGGACCCTAGAGTTCCTGTATGGACGTATCTTACAAGGTTCATATCCAGTTCTTCCTGAGTACACTTCATGCTGGTTTGGAGAGTCACCCAGTCTTTGCCTACCTAGAAAGAAGAAACATCCCGCAGTAAATAGATGCAATCTCCTGTGTATCCTCCACAGTTAATTCTGTTTATTTGTGGTTGTGAGAACTGATAGTGGCAGCTACCTGGCTTCCTTTCTAAGCTTTAGACTCTTTCTTCATATATGTTTTGTATGTTTTGAAGGGTGGTATTTAGATGCAGTTTTTCCCAGGCATCTGTAAGCCTGGAGAAAATAGAGCTATCATAAATAAATGCAGGTAAATGGAATTTAGTGACTTTTACTCTGGGAAACATGTTTCTGTACACTTCTCAGTGAGACACCAATAAGATGAAAATTAAAGAGTTCCTGACCCAGCTTGTGTTTTCTATTTCTTAATCTGACAAAGCTGCTCATAATTCTGTCCCAAACCATACCTGAAAGGATAACACAAATGAATCTATGGAGAACTCTAGAGAAGCATAGAAACTTGGAAAGTCCCAGCCATCTAATGGAAAAATGCAGTGCCCAATACAATTTCCTGCTTTTCAGAAGATGATAAGGTAGCCTAAGCTAGACTCTCTGTGTATTTGAAATTTAGCATGTAGTTACAGTAGCACTGGCTTCAGAGCAAAAGAAATCAAGCACAGAAGGTTCAAGTACACTCCAGTACCCTCTATATTCTAAACTGTTAGACTCATCAGTAGCTCTCTCTTGTCCCAGTGTGTAGATCCCTTTGAATTCACAAGTCTCACATGGTTTCAGATTCTTTCAGAAAGCCACAATAAAATACTTTGGGGCTCACAAGATTTTAAAATTTATTTTTTCTTTCTATTATATGTGTGTGCAATAAAAAAGAGGCATTTTTTGCATTTTTTTTTTTTTTTTTTTTTTGTTCTAATATCTTACCTTTGGTTAGTAGATAATCATCTTTCATTCAATTTCTAATCTTATTTTCTAACTCCCCTTTTGCTATATTCTTTCCTTTTTTTTTTTTTTTTTGTCTTCTCCCCATGCTTTTCTTCTAACTCATTAATTACTCTTTCAGAAACATCTCCCACTATTCCTTCTAAACCCTAAAGTAACTAAAGTAATGGCTTACTAGCCACCTTTGTTGGTCTAGAACTTTTTTCCTTCCTTTTTTCACTTAGTTTCACCCCACTGATTGTCCATCCCAGCATTTCTCTCCATTGTCACCTCAGATGATCTGTCCTGCTTTTCACCTTCCCTCCCATCCTGTTGAGGATATGGCTTTTAGTGTCAAAGCCTCTGGGACAGCATCATTGTTTTGTTCAAATACTCTCTACAATTGAACTAGCCACATCAGTCTACTTCAAAACATGAAAGAGATTTGGGAGAAAAGGAAAAGAAGCTACATTCTATCCTAAGAAGAGATAGTTGTTTGCATACCTGCTTCTTGTCAAAATATAAAATCTAACCTTGAGCTGAAGCTGGCCATTTTCTGGAAGTCTTTCAAATAAGTAGTAAATTCTGTCCCTGGGGGTATCTTTATCTTCAGCTGACAGAACAGCACTAGAAATTATTCGAGTTTCGCCCATGTTCACCTCTATATCATCCTTCCTGCAAAAGTTAAAGGTTATGCATTTATTTAATGCAAGAAAACTAATATTTGCAATACCTAAATTCCCTTCCAGGAATATGGATTGCCCAGATGCTGACAGAAATAAAATCTGCAGAATGGAACGAGGTGCCTATTTCAGCTCAAAACAGGAGAAGGATAGACCAGCTTCTCCTAACAGTGGTGAAAAAAAACAAAGCAGCTCAATATGACAACTTCAGATTTACAAAGTCTGTCTTTTTCCCCCAGAAGAGTACACCATAAACAAATAAGCTGCATTATATGTTACTGCCACTGCAGACCATAACAATGTTGGCTCTGATGTTTATTAGAGAAAAGACTCTTTTTCAGTTAACTAGCTATCACTGCTCGTCTTTACCTTCAAGAGACACCCATCTACAAAGAACTAAGTGTCTTATTCTCTGAGCTCCCTGTTGCATATTGCTTTCTGGGTATTTGAAGCAGGTAAATAGGTTAAAGCCACCTGTTCCTTGACAGTCATTAGCCACATGAGCTTTTTTCCTAGTTTTCTTATTCAAACTGAAATGGGTATGATTTCATGCTTAGCAAAATGAGAAGCAAACACGATGACATCATATAGCAAGGCATGTCAAGTCATGTGAGTGATAGGTCAAGCAACCTTGATAATTCACTAATATCACTAATCATTCTGGGGCTATCCAAACATAAAGACCAGTTGTTTGACCTAAAGACTGTATGACCAGGGAAAAGAAAATTCAAACAAAGAGTGTGTGAAGATAAACACATTTAGGTATGCTCCCCAAATGCTTTCTAATCTCAAAACATTTATCTGCATAGCAGTTAGTTGGTTAAGTCTTTATAGCACCCATGTATCTGATCCTGGGAAGAAGCTTTCAAGGGGAATGTGTGGGGGCCTTATATTCCCCAAGGGCACTCCTTGCTACAGCATGCAATCCAAGTAGTGACAGATTGAGTTTTTGGCAAATACTGCAGATTAGAGTCACTGTTTGCCAGCCGTTCTTCAGTCTGTTGACCATAGCTAATGGAGATGAGAACTGAAACTCCTTGGGGTGAAAAGATGCTCTTAGATCAAAAGGTGAGAAAAAGCTTACAGGTATTGTCATATGTTCACTTGCAAAACATCTCAGTGGCATAAGGGAGTTCATACCCCACAGCAAAGATGTGGCAGCTGCATATGGTGGCTAAACCACTTTGTGCCAAATTGGACATGTTAGAGCACTACTGCTTAACTGCTGGCAGCAAACTGCATCTCAGTGGAAGAGTTAACAGGTAAGAAGCATTAAGTTCATAGAATGATAGAGCTGCTTTGCAAGGAAATGGCTCAGTATATGGTACTGTTCACTACAGGAATTGTGATTTGTAAAATGTAGTACTGCCAGAAAAAGAAATAACCTTTTCTGGATCCAGCTGGGCAAAAGTGCTCTCCATCACCTTCCTTCAGAGAGAAAAGATGGAAAATGACATAGAAGCATGGAACGGCTTGAGCTGGAAGGGACCTTAAAGATCATCTAGTTCCAACTAGACATACCAACATTCAATAAGCAAAGAACAAAAAGGCCATGGCCATTAATCTGTGCTTATCAGTAGCTGATGTAAATATATAAACTATATCCTTTATTCTAACTTGAAATGGACTTTGTCCCTTGTTAGTGTTGGGTGGCTTTTGATAATCCTCACTAGAAAACTAACATTTGTATTGCAGGAGGCTCTACATGGTAAACAAAACAATTCAAAACTCTCTGCAACGGGAAATATAGGTCTGGTTTGAAGATAGGCCAAATCCATACTGTTCTGTAGCTAAATATCCTGAGGGATCAGAAATTCCTCCATTAGTGGCAGCCTGCTTAGCATGCTGCAAGTCATTTCCGAAACACAGACTTTGGAGGTTTGGAGCTATATCCCCAAAGCCTTCAGGCCTCTAGCTCCCCATCTGCCTGCCTGGGTCTGGAAGACAGCCAGGAGGATGTAGGCCATGACAATATTCTGGGGCAGGTCATCAGTTGAAAAATGGGGATCCCAAGGGACAAGTTCCCTACTAAAATGTCCAGGAGGTTCAGCTCAGTCACAGTCAGCTGCCTATCTTAAAAAGGTCTGCCAGGCAATTTCTGACCAGGGCTAATTCATTTATGAATTCTAGTATTGGAAAGTAAAGGAGATTAGTGTATACCTCATAAAAAGTTGAATTAGGGCTGAGCAATAGAGTACTTTTAATTGAAAAGAAGAGAATCATCAAACTGAAAGACTATCCCTGGTGAGTCATGGAGGTGTCAACCTTGTGGACTCTTGTGAAAGAGCTGATTTCAGAGGGGCTGCAGCAGGGAAGGGTAAAGCAAAGCATCTGGGGTGGATACCAGTACAGTGGCCAGCAGAGATGTGTAAATATCAGGGCTCCCTGACGAACATCTTGAAGTAGGTTATGAAAAACAAAACAGGCATGTTCTCCCTCTTTCTTTTCCAGTATTCTCCCTATACGCAACTAACAACCCGGTTTTATGTATTTTGAATACTGAACAGCATTCAACATGTCTTTCACTAAAAATACTTTTATTAAACATTCTGATAGTGACCCACATAGAAACATCTGTGTTGACATTAATCTCTGACTAATTATGGAATCTTCTCCTTATCAGTCACAGATTGGCTCTTTTGATCACTTCTGGATCATTTTGTCTGATCTCAGCCCTGTGCCAGAGACAGAAACATGTGGCTTACTTGCTCAGCACTGGTTTCTCATCATTAACTGGGATGACCTTTACAAAAATGGTTCTGAGGACTTTATGTTTCCCATCTGAGAGCTGGATTTTAAAGCTGTCAGTGAGGTTTTCAGAATTGTCATGCATGTACATCAGCTTCATTCCTATAGAGTGGGGGGGGGGAAAGGGGAGGAGGGAAGGGGAGGGAAGTGAGACAGAGAGTAAGAGAGAAAGGAAAAGAACAAATAAATCCAAAGTGACCTTGGTGAGCTGCTGCCATTCATTAATTTAACAATGTAGTAGTGACTCAAAGACACTAGTCTGACCAGCCTGAAGGAGCTACCCACTTCACGAATGGCTCTCTGTCAGTCTGGAAGAAGACACATTTCTTTTTCTCTCCACCTTTCAATTCATTTTAACAGAGACCACAGAAAGTGTGAGACCATTAGGTAATACTCTCTGTACCTTGAATAATCCTCAGGGAGCTTTAAAGTCTCAGAGAGAAAAGCTGGACTTGTAGTTATGGCTATGGCCATGGGCAATCAGATCTGTGCTGGAGATGGCTAATAACAGATAATGGTAAGCTATAGAGCCTGATTTCATACCCTTATCATTTATGGCTATGTTGAACCCCATAATAAATATATATGACTAAATATGACTTCTCATAATCAGACAGCATGTTTTTAAATGAATCTCTCTCTCTTCTAGATGCTGTCAAACATTTTGAAATGTGTTTATTGATATGTTTCAATACTCTCTTTACTCTTTTCAGGGCAGATGGCCTCTCTAGTCAGATTACTACCTCTTCTGACAGGTAGGCCTCTCAGGGTGAGTTTATTGGCAGTTCCTCAAATCATTAGATAACATTAGTATTAAATAGGTTGGTTTATATTTAAAATTATCTTGAAATTATACATAAGGCAAATGAATAAATAAGTGATGAAGGTTTCTTATGGTGCCACTTTGTCTGCTATGAATTATTAAAGGAATGAAAGACCAATGTCAGAAGAACTTTGCACCTACCATTCTTCAGTAGGTCCATAGAAAATTCATGAACAAGCAAGCCATGCCTGTGGTGGTGAATTAACTGTTTGTAATGTAGAGTATCATGGCCATGAACTCCATTAATGAGGAAACCATGCAAGGGCTTCTGCACAACCCCAAATACCAAGTGGTCTTGAGGCACATCCAGATCAACTGCATTGATAACAGAGAGATCCAGCTCTTTCATCTCACCCTCTTGAACCTGACAATAAAAGAAAAAAAAAATCTTTTACATAAAAAAAAAGCTGTAGCATTTTAGCGCACTTTTCTAAGCAGACCTTTTTAATCTAGGAGTCTGTGTTTCCTCAACTCCTTTCCCAGTAGTTCTTGGGCAAAGCTACTGATTTCAACCAAGTGTAAGAGGCATAGAGTAGTAAGTGGTTACAGTGATGAAAAGGTGAGATAAGGAATTCATATCTGCCTCTATTAATAGAAAAGCTTTGGTAAGTAAAGATCATTTTAAGACATTTGCTTAGGTAAGTAAAGATCACGTTAAGCATTAGTGAATGCAGAGAGGAGAAAGCCTTTAAACACATGAATGTGTATGTATGTATGTATGTATGATATACATACGTATATGTTTATGATATAAAAATACACACAATATAAAAACGTGTATATGAATACACATTTATACATATGTCTATGCATGTATCTGTATAGATCTATAAACATGCATACACTTTTTTCTTTACAGTAAGATAAACTCATGTTTCCCTGGCATGGTAGTCACAGATGTATTATTTATATTAAAAACAGTCTTCAGAGAAGGGAGAGGCTTTGCCAGGAGCAAATACTACTCTGCAAAAAAATTCTGAAAGACTCATGTGTAACCAGAAGAAGCATAAAGATCCTTCTGCTGTCTGAATGACTTATTTCTTTGAGAACTCATTTACTTTACTTAAAGTTACCAAACAGAGCTGTGCACAGCTTCAGGCTCATTGAAGCTGTGTCTTACAGGTTTACATGGGATTTAACTAAGGTGTTTCCTGAACTAGGCTAAATTGCACAGAAGAAGGGAAAGACAGAGAGGAATATATGTCAGAACAATGTTCTGATTTATATTAAAGGGTGTTTTCTATAAAAAGTAGTACTATGGCAGGCATTTTTCTTCTGTCCTTACAGTGATGTTTCTTGCTATGAATTCTGGGACTTCATCATTGGTTGGGCTAATCAACACAAAAAATGGGGTCTCTGCTGAGCGATGTAGCCCATCGGTGACATAAAGTACAAAGTGGTCTGTCGTTGGCTCCGTTCGCATGTGCCTGGCTTGTACATAGTTTATGTTCTGGGCTTTCAGGTGCTTCAGCTGAAATGAAGCTAGAAATGTTAAAGAAATGAGTTAGTGCAATCAGTCTTCTGTCCACTGGTGTGACATACCATAAACAAATCTGAAACTATGCCCTTCTTCAAAGACCAAATCATTTGGATTTTGTAAGCTCTCAGACATTTTCTTGGCTGCCTTACTGGGTACTGAGGAAAAAGAGAGAAAAAGGCCCTCCCCTCTAACACTGTGCAAATCCCAGTTTCAGACCTCAAGGCAGGGAGGGAAGGCAATTCCTTGTTCCCATGATGCTCAAGTGAGAGGACTGATGAGAGAAGAGGAGCTGTTAATCCTTCTCTTCCACTACTCACAAGCCAGCTTGGTGACTGGAAAAAAGTCAGTCGCTGGGAAGAGAAAGCCACCATGCACATTTCCAGAGGAGTATGCTGGACATATGCCCTTCTCTCTGTGGCACACCACTCTGTCCATCTCAGTGTAGACTGCAGAATGGCCCCAGATAACAAGACCCAGAAAACATCTGGGGCCTAAGCAATTACATTGATTGTTTTTGACTGGCAGATCAAGAAACTGGGGACCAAAAGGCTCAGCAATGCTGGGTGACCAGCTGAAGACACAAGTAAGCATTAACAGTGCATGCGTGGTACAGTTTATTCTGCAGCAATTGAAACTGCCTTGCGGTATTCGAAGGCAGACCAGGGAAAAGACTGAAGTCAACTACTATCTCTATCACTTTTGCAACTTGGCCTTGGAGAATAACACAGGATCCAGATTTTTCACATTCTCTGCTAGTTATTTTTGATAGAAGTGAAGAGAGGCTGGGGGAAGGTTGCTTGGGAGAGTGAAGGCACAGAAAGCAGATTAATATTTCTTATCGCCACTTCTACTGGATTGCAGCTGGAATGCATAACACAAGAGCTGGCTTGTGCACTCCAAGTGCCAATTGTTCACATTTGCATAGTTGCAGTCTCTTTTTGAACTCCCCCTACACAATCCTACAATTCTTAATTTGCCAGCCACTGCTTTCCCCAATAAGCCCATACACACCTGCAGCTACCTCTCCACAGCCCACCACATGGTTCTCTCTGTGTTTCATCTGCTCTATTACTTCATGTTTTGTAGACTTACCTATGCTTATACCAATGTTGCTCTTCTCAAACCCAGGAGAAGGCAGTATATTTTCAATGTAACCAAACTGGGGAGGAGAAACCAAGACAAACTCTAAGTCATCGGCAGTGGTGTCAGGGTCAGTGGCAAACAAATGGTTAATGGTAAGGGCTGCTGAGGAGCCCTCCTCCACCACAAACCTTGCACCTGCACACAAACAATATGATAACCATTACTGCTTATTAAGTTCAGCTTACTATTGTTTTTGTTAACAAGAATGGAAATAATAACTATGGAGGAAATGACAATAAATTCAGAGTTACTGAGGGCATTGGTTTGCCTTGGGGATTTTTGCTTACACCATCAACTTTCCCCATCGTATAAGTAAAGGGGAAGGGTATCACACAATCATTTTACTGGTAAGTTATTAAGCATGGTTTATGTGCTGCTCAGAATCACTTGTTACCTCTGTTTGTCAGAGCATTAATTACATGATAGCTGTTACGAGTTGCTCATAATGAACAATTTTTCATGCATCACTGCTTAATTTCCCTGCTGGGACAATGCTTCATTTCCAGAACATTGCTTGGGTGATAGCCTGTAAATTACAAAACTACTCATACATATGCTTAAATATTCTCTGGAATACATACATATACATGATGCGTACAAACAAATGACATTGAAAAAGAAAAAGACAAGCATATGGAAAGCACACCTTTAATACATATACTACAAGCCTTGTCCAAAGCCCTGCGATTCAATGCAAATTTCACATAGTAGCTAGTTGTTGCATTAAATGTTTGTTATCAGTGCAATTTCCTTTTCAGCTGAGAATTTTTGATCCTGAAAAGTACTAGAGAAAAAGTGGCTTCTGATCTATTCATTTCATTAGTTACATATATGGACTAGATTTGTTTCTATTCATTAACAGAATTAAATATAGATAATAAAATATTCCCTTCCTTGATACCTACATACTCATATAAACTAAATTTCGGTTGCATACTTAATACACAAAGGTATATACATGTAGATACTTATGGGTATGTTTTTGCATTGTATAAACATGAAAATTGTTTGGACCTAAGTTCTGGGATGAGATGTTGCTCAGTTTTACCCAGACATAGTGTACATGTACAACAATACACACGTGTAGATGGATGGGAGCAGATCTGAGCACCCTAATTTCTAGCCACATGAATATGCAGCTGAACTCATACTTGCACCTGCAACTGAATTTAGTGGTTGCACTGCATTAGTAAAAGAAAAAATAAATAAATAAATAAATAAATAAATAGAAATTCAATCTAAAACTTCTGCATGTTGATCTGTTGACTCTTCCTGGAGCTTAAAGAAAAAAAAAAAAAAAAAAGCCTGAGTCTTTAGCTGTTACATTAATTACTGCGTAGCCCACATTATAATAATATGCTATAGTGAGAGGAAGCTTTCACCAGTTGCAATGGATGGTGGCTGGTTATCCACTGGGAGTATAGTGATGTTAAGGTCATACACTGGGAATGGATCGTGGAGTGGAACTGGAGGAGGAAGAGGTCTATCATAACAGCAGTCTTTCACATCTGGGCCAGCTTCACCATCAGAAATAATAAAGGTTAAGATCTCAAAGGAAGGAGTCAGGCCAATCTCCCCACCTGGAAAAAACATTGCAGGTAAGAAGAAATGTTTTACTATAAGGAACCAAAACTTCAAAAACTTCACAAAGAAGAATCCTGCAAGGAGAGACTCCAGTATTTGAAATCAAAAGATGGAGACAGACCAAAAGAACAACAACAAAAAAAAAAAAAAAACAACAAACCAAAACAAACAAACAAACAAACAGTAAAATAACTAGAATTCTTAATTTGGGCTGTTTGGTCCACAGTTTGGTTTGGTATTTTTAAATAATTTTAATCAGATTACTTCTCTTCTAGAATAACAAGCTGTACACAAGTGTACAACTAAGTTAATATTACTGCTTTAATGTTGTAATTTAATATTATAATATTATAATTATAATTTAATATTATAATTGTAATATTATTGCAATAATATAATATTCAATTGTAATAAAATTGCTAATAGACGTCATGATTCTGTTCTGCTTATACTGAAGCATGTTCAAAATGTTCTGTTGTGCAGAAAGGATATTTTTTCTGGATTCCTCATCCAAGAAAGTTGGCAAAGATCTTTCTTGTATAAAATACTGTCACTCTGTGACATGAGGCAACATTCATGCTCTTCGGGAAGAAAACATTTTTGCATACCAAGAAATGCATGTATTCCTGTATGCCTCTTAACCCTATAAAATGGACTGTAACAAGGACTGTGCTTTGTTACTGTGCTATATATGGTGCCTATATGCAATCACTTTCAAGCTGTGGGCTGGTGTTGAATGTCACACAACAGGCCACAACTGCCACCCCTCACCAGAAGCATCTGAGGGTGAGTGCATTCCATTTCTCAGCAGCCCTGGCAGCCTGCATCCAGTGCTGCTGCAAGTTGCTCCTGATACACTGCCTAAGAAGGAAAGGGAGTGACTCCCTGCGTCCTGTGTAACAGCTACTGGAAGCACATCTAGCATGCAGAAAATTGGGAATGGCGAATACAAGTGACTTTACTCTTGAAAGTCAGCTTCTGGCCTTTAGTGCCCCTGCAAAACACTACTATTAAAATAGCATTCACAATATCTTTAGGATAGTGCACAAAAGTTTGTTATGGGTGGCCATAACCAAGTACTTCCTTCTCTTCTTAAATGCCAGCTGTTCATTTTAGACAGCGCCAAGCCTGAAAATATCACATAAATTCCCCACGCTAGCACAAAATTACAGACTAATTACACATAAAACTGGAGCCTTTGGAAAAAAAAAAAAATTAAAGCTGTCATCAGAGATGCAGAAAAGAGAACCTCTTTCATGCTAATAAAAGGACCAAATTAAGTAGGAAAGGGAGCTAACCAGCCGTTGATTTCTATGAGTAATTAAAAAAAATGTATTTGGGGATTTTAAAGATAAAACCACAAAATGATATCTTTCTCCACATTCTCTTGAAGGAAATCTGAACACATTTTACCTTGTGGTACAGATAGACTGTAAACTTTCCAAAAGTAGGTACCTATCCAAATTGGAGAGGCAAGTGGCTAGTACCTTATGTTGTAAGCAGTTCTCTATTATAACTCAGCATCGATATTTACAGCATTACATTACTTTATCTGCGCAACTAAGAAAAAAGTCAAAGATATTTTAGTGTCATAAAACAAACAAAAAGAGTCTATTTAGCTTCTATTTTAATATTAATATTGATAAAAATAATTTAAAAAACAATATTGCATCTGCAGCAGTGAAAGATATTGTCCAGGATTATGTTGCTTTCACATAGTTGCTCTGCTATAATTTTAATTTCAAACAGTGATTTGGAGAACACATTAAAACATTTGATAGTAGTACATCATCAGCCCTGTTTCAAAGACACCTCAGTTTTCTCACCAATCACAACATGTGATTTCTCAGCAGCTCCTGCTGAGCTCCTGGGAAGATTTCATGGATTAGGTTAAGATTTTCTGCCAAAACTACCTGACCACCTCCCAATCTCACTTACCAGTATGTTTATATGTGACTAAACCAGAGATGACATCAGCCTGGGAGAAACGCTCCATAGCGATGCCAGCTTTCCTCACCACCCCATGGTAGGGCTGGCGAACCAGCATAAACATCAGTCTCATGTCATCACTGTCTGCATCTGTGGCATAAATGTACTTGGAGGAGAGGACCACTTCTTCACCTTCTTGGCAGTGTACCACAGGGATGAGGCCTGTTTGCAAAACGGGTGGCTCATCATTCACAGGCAACACCTAATCAGAAAGAGAATTTAAGATCTTTTATTCTTCATTTCAGTGAAAGCCTTTTGTTTTAAATGCATTGCTTTCCAGACCAAACCATCAGCACAGTGTCACAGTAAGAGTACATTGAGCTCTCTGTGAACAAGATTGAAACAGCTGAATTAGGTCCACTGTTAAAATACAGATGTAAAAGTAAACGAAACTAAGCAGACTGTGTAAAGGAAATGGAACACATATATTGCTTCTGTCTTTACTTGCTCAATGATAAGGATGATTTGCAAATTAACCCAAAAGCTAGGGTGAAAATGAAACCTAACAAGTCCATTATCTCCCAGTTTCCAAGGGAATATGAAGATTTTCAGAAGTTAAGCTTTGCAGTCTTCTGCATGGGCAAATGCTCTCAGAAGTATGCAACACACTGACCTTGACATGTAGGATGAACTCTACAGAGTGGATGCCATCTGTGGCTACAAAGAGGATTTCATCAGTAAATGTCTCAGAGCCATCATGCCAATACCTGTGAGAAAAAGAAGCTACACTAATTTCACACAGAAAAAGAAATTGTGGTTTTTGATCCTGCCAGACATTGTGTATGCCCAGATAGAAAGCCAATCCCTGTGCAAGGGTTCCTATCAAAGACTTACAGTTCTAAATCACAGTATGTTCAGAAGGCTTGTGGGGTCTCCTATGTGAAGAACACCCCTAAGATATGGCAGATATCAACTAGGAAAGAGTTTTCACTGAATCTTTGTTATTTCTCCTCTGGCTGCTTGTGAGCTGTCTATTAAACTTGCTTTCTCTCTGCAGTAGGTACCCTCTTTGACTAACAGACGGTAACAAAGTCAGGGATCTCTAATTCTGCATGCATGCAGAAAGTCAGCATCCTGTTCTCACCCCAGATACAGTAGCAAAATTTGCATCTTCAAGTTAATCAGTTTCAATAATAACCAGACTTTCTTGTAAGTTTCATTAAATAAAAAAGCTGATAACTGTTGCATTCTTCACAGGAACTACACAGCTGCATGGCTTCCTCCTCACATGCGTGAGACAATGCTTCCTATTTACATCAGACGTGGTCTCTAGCTCCGTTTACTGGCCACACTTCTAGTTAGTTTCCACAGTGACCTTTGTGGTCCTCTGAGGCTAAGGTGGTTGTTTTGGCCAGGAGCAATATTGCCAGAGCCTGCTGCAGTGAGAACTTCTGGTTGTAGCCTCTGCACCTCACACTTCTTCACTGCAAGCGTCTCACTCATCCAGCTGAGACAGCCACCACGAGAAGAAAAGCAAACACTCTTCTAACCTGACTGCCAGGGTACGCAGGTCCCCACAGGAAAACCTGTCACCTTCACTCATGGGAACACTATCCAGCTCCACCACCCCGTGCTGAGGCTGTCGCTGCAGGAGGAGGAAGAGATGTTCTTGTTTTGTGTCCACATCAGAGATGAGAATGTGTCCCTCTGTGACAGGGCTCAGGCCACCCTCTTCCACTGTCAAGTGGCTTGTAAAAACCTATATGGAGGAGAAATGCTTAACTGATATTTCCTACTTCATGTCCAAACATACATTGAACACAGCAATTTCAATTTGCTCTAGTATTAAGACATGTGACATCTTAAAAATCAAAACACCAAAGGCTTTAATCTTTTCTAATGCATGTAGAAAACCTGAAGAGTATACTAACAGTATGCCTTAATATGTAAACCCCAGTCCTGATCCCATTCAGGGAGGCTCTTGACCTTCAAAGGCAAATAGACAACAATGCAGAATAGAGATTTAGGAGTTGTGGTTGAAGCCCTCAGTTTATTCACTATAAAATTTTTTAAATTAATAATAATAATAAAATAAATAAATAAACATGAACAAACAAACAAAACAAACGAACAAACAAACAAACAAACCAGGCAGAGATCAGGACATCTCCCTATATTTCTTTTTTCTACGCAAAGCCATTTCCAAGTCCTTCAACCTCCACCTCCCCATCACCCTACCTCTGGGGCTTGGTTGTCCACAGGAAGAATTGTAATATTGAAGCAGATCCCATATAAAGTGCCACCGTGCTGATTGCTGACAGAAAAAACAAACTGCACTTGCTGAGGTTCAGGACCAATGTCCTGAAGTGGAGGCATATAAGCAACTTTCATGTAGTTGACAGCATGCTGCAAAAAGTGAAGAGAGGTGCATGTAAGAAGATAATATAGGAGTAGTAAAAATCAGAACTTCAGCGACCCTTCTCATCCCCTCATTAGATGTTATATGATCTTGCAAAATTAATTTCAGGAACATTGCTCACAGTCTTTAGCTACTGACAATACTGTGAGCAAGTGTATCTTTGCAGAACCACAGAATGGCCAAGGCTGGAAGGGATCTCTAAGATCATCTGGTCCAACCCCCCTGCTGAGCAGGATCACCCAGAGCACAGTGCACAGGATGGCATCCAGGCTGGTTTTGAATATCTCCAGAGAAAGAGACTCTACAACCTCTCTGGTGAACTTGTTCCAGTGCTCTGTCAGCTGAGTACAAGTTCAAATACTCAAAACTCTTGTGGCAAATAATACAGTCATACACAGCAAGTGATTACAGAGGCAATGGCTTTACCTTCTTGATGGAAAATGAGCTCTTTAAAAATGCTGGTTCCAGAGCATTTTCCACACTGTGACTTTAAAAAAATTATCTAAACATAACTTTTATTACAATATCTTCCAAAGCAGCTGAATTTGCCCTCACCCATATGAATAAACTGCACATCCTGCTTCCACAGGTAAGTGCAGACTGGTGAAAGAGCCTAGAACAATCAACAAAATTTTTCATTCGAACACGTATGTTGGGTTAGGGATTAAGGACCTCTAGGCTCGCGGTTCTCATCATGGTATTACAATGGTCACCACTGTGCAGCCTTAAGCATACGGCAGGGTACAAAACAGGGCACTTTAATATGCTTAACAAAGACATCTGTCAAACTACAGAACAAAATCTTGAAAAAGAGCACATGGGCCTGTTCCAGCTTGGTACACAGCTATCAGTGGAGACACTGAGAAGAAACAGGGAACAGTCAGGGCCCCGTTTCCACATTTTGTGCACTTTTTCTTCATATCAGCATTATGCTGCAACCAAATACAGCCTACCTGTCAGCAACTGCAGCCCTTGTGGTTTCAGAGAGAGAGTTATGTTTGCATACTCCAGAAATGAAGCATGACAGAAATTAGTTTTAAAAAACTGAGTTGAATTAACAAGCAATTGAATTATCTCTTCTAAAGCAGTATTCATGTGATAAAACTGAACCTCAATTTTCACTGCTTGTTTTCCCGTCAGGAATAAGCTATATGCTTGTGACTGTTCTTAAAATTGCTTGGTACTGATTATAGTACCACCTAACATAACAAACCTGAGTAAATGACCTCAGTGCAAGAACAGCAGGATCCTTGACCAGTTTGGGGATGGTGTCCACCATAAACAGCTTCCCAGCATCGGAGTGCCTGTACAAAAATATGCATGTTACATCCAAGTTAGTGATACTAAAGAACAGGTTAAAAAAATAAAAATAAAAAAAGGCGCATAGATAAGTCTTGCCTTTCAAATTAGCTTTGCACTCCCAACTGCACTGAAAGGAAAAACATTTTTCTTTCTTCTGTCCCTATTATTAATTCAAATTTTATCATAGAAGACTGACCGAAAGAAACATCTTTTGGGATAGTCAAAAAAATCATTGCATACCTCATAAGCAAGCTCTGGGTTTCCTACTAGCATGTCTCTGCACATCGCAGATACCAGTTTCAGGGCAAATGTGCCTATTTACACCATCTGCAATGCTAGCCCATCATATTCCTTTTATTTACACAACTGCATCTATCTGTATATAAAAATTAAATTATTTCTTCCTGTAGACTGCCAAAGTCAACTAGTTTTCACCCAGCCATCATTCCAATGGAGACAACGGCAGTAACTAGCAAAGTGAATAATTATGTACCTCATCAGCTGAACAGGGGAAGTGCCTAAACATCCTGCTCCCTCTGCTACATACTGATTCTCTGTGTTTTCAGGTTAGAGTTGAAAATGTTGATTTTCAGCTTAAACTATATGGCGTCTGGAGTTTGAAATTTTCTGTTTAGTAGGTTGTTGCCAATGCTATCATGAATTTACCAAACAGTGAAGCAGCATCAGGCATGTAAATTGCTATTACACCTGCGTGTCACATGTCCATGTTGTCCCCTGTGTCCTGTCTTGACTGTAATTCTGCTCCACAAGTTCCTGGTCCAGGAGCTCACAATGCCATACATCACCTGAAAAAAGCTGTAGCACCTCATCTTCTCAGGCAGGGACAGTGCAGGTCAGCACCAGTCTATCCATTAGGAGAGTTTCTGTGACTTGTAATACAGTATCCCAGGGGTGAGTGTAAAGTGCAAACCCAACCAAAGGAAAGAAAAGATTTCAGGTGCATTTCTTCTACTTTCTTGCTAAATTTTGCAACTTTCTTGTATTATTCTGTGTATTACTCTGTTACTTTCAGCTCTAGCTCTGACTTAATTACTAACAGGAGAGCTGCACCCAGCTATTGTCACCTGTACTTTAAGCGAACAGATGAATAACCTGAGTTTGCTCTCATTCCACCAGACTTTGCCCTGACCCACCTGGAAGTTACACCTACCCATGGGTGCAAGAGAAAAATGGGGAAGTGGTTATGGTGTATGTGAGTTCCCTGTCTTGCTCTTCCATGTCTATGAAGTGAAGATGTTTCTTAGTGAGGTGAGCAATCTCAGTCTCCTTAACAACAAGGTGACGGGTCACTCCCGGGGCTTCTCTCGGTAGCTGATCATCCACAGGGATAATTTGCACCATCATCACCTAGAATCAGAAGTTGGTAAAATCAGAAGTCTTGATGAGAGACTGTCCAAGCAATTTTTTTTGCACACAAGCACATACAGAAATCACTGGATCACTGGAATATGAGATAAATAACAGTTAATTGCAGAGCCCATTAATGTCAGCAGCATCCCTTTAAACCAAAATCAAATTCAGTATGTTTGGCCTCTGAATGGAATAGTCTGTTCTCTGTTGATTTCAGGAGTACTGTTTTTGTTGTTGTTTTTGTTGTTGTTGTTGTTTTACCATCCCCAAATCCAATATTTTCAGCATTTAATTTTATGGTATGGGAAAAAGGTCACTGAGAATGGATGGTATTTTTCAGACAGAGAGAATTACCCCATGGAAAGCAAGAACAGGAACTAGCCCTGAAGGATATTACTTGTGGTGATGACTATGGTGACAGCAAACAGAAAAGACCAATCCCAATTTGGCTTGAAAGTCTTGCAGAAGTTGTAAAATCATCAGCTGTTTGAAGGAGAAATAGAGGGCCCTGACAAAGATGTGTCAGTGTCGTACCTGTGGCTCCGAGAGATTGGGAGGGTCGTGGCTATCACACAGCACAAACTCAAGGGAGTCTTCAAATACTTCTCCTCCCAAATGATGATAATAAATTATTCCATTAAACAGATCCCTCTGAAGAAAACTGCTGACAGGATATCCTGTTGAATTAAAGAATATTCAATAGTGTAAGACTTTAATCATTCATAAATACTGTCCATTAGCTATTCAAGTAACTAGTGAAGCGTAATGACCCCTTTCTCACTCTAGGTAGAGCAAAGTCTTTAAAATGTTCTCTGATCATCTTCCATGTTTCCTGAAGATCATCAACTTCTTTTCTTTGTCAGTAAGCAATCATTTAAATAATGAAGCAATGTGGAAAATGGACCTGGAGCTCTAAGCAGAGGATAACAGAATTCATGTGGCTGGCAGCCTCTGCATCTAACACAGGGGTTTCTGAGTTCAGCTCATCTAATAGCTCTGAACTTTTCAGGTATCCTTGCAGATAAAGTTACTCCTGACTAGCCCAACACCTCTGAAGGAGAAAAATAGAGTAGAGAAATAGATGGAAGACTCAGGGCTAAATTGTGTTCGTATTTAAAATTTTGCTTTAAAAGTGCAGAGACCACCATTAATTAATGATTAGGATTTACACTATAATAACAGCCCAGTTTTTCCTGAGCCAAAGTAAGTCTAATCGTTTCACATAAAGCAGTCTAAAAAGCAGAGGGAAAAGAAAATTGTGCTATTGTGGATGTGTTTCATTACCTATTAAGTTTGGCCCTGGTTTCTTCATGATTTCTCCAGCCTGGGGTGGCTTGGTAATGTTGAACACTATGTAGTCATCACTGGAATCCATGTCAGAAGCTTGAAGCATGGAGCCCTGGATCAGGATCATCTGTCCCTCGTGAACCTCAATTATTACATTGCTGATCAGAAATGGAGGGCTGTCATCTTTAGGAAGGATATTGATTGGAAATTTATGGCGAATACTGTGGGAGCCATCAAAAATCCTAAACACTACAAAATCCTTAGTAGAATCACTGTCATCATGATGGTAGTAAACAACTCCAGCCTGAATGTCAGAGACTGTGAACATGAATCCTTTCCCTCCTGTCAAAGCAGTATAAGAAAATGTATCAAAAATGTGTAATTCAGCCCAGAGGAGAATACTTCCACCAATATAAATGTTACAATGGTAAAGACAAGGAGAATGCATTTCTAAACTTTCTAGTACAAAATTAAAAAATAAAAATAAAAAATCATCTACTGGAATAGTTAAGAATGCAGAATTTACAACTGTGCTATCAGGCAAAATCCTGCAAATGTCTATTGCATTAAGATAATTGGAGGCATGAGGGATTTTTAACTGTGACAGTTTGGATTTTAATTTCAACCAATCCTTTCTTATCAGAACATTTTGCTTTTATATTATGAATCAAGGAGACTATGCTTTGTAATTACAGCTCAGCGTTTCACTGCAGATAAAAATAACATATATGGTTCTTAGGCTTTTTGTGCATATTCAGGTTACTGTCCATAAAGAGACTATTTTGTACCTCTGCTTCACTGGATGTGTTATACACACACAAGTATTTCAGGCAGGTTAAAAGTTCTGTGAATTCCAGGCTGGTGCAGGACAAAATGGTCTACCCAGGGCCTCCAAGGAAAATATTTTTGGCCCTCCATTCTTTGTGACCTCCACAGAGCCACCCACAGCTGCAGGTACAGGTGCTTTCACACTTCCTTTGTGCCTTACTTGAAGAGAATTATAGGCAGACTTTAGGATGCAGTCATAACTGCATCCCCATCAAACAAAAGCCTTTTAAAGGTGACAGGAGGCAGGGAGCAACACCATATATTCCTTTTCCTTTCAGGGCTTTCCTTTAGCCCTAGGACTTGGATTACCAGACCTATCACACAAGCACTCAAAACATTGGGTTGATTTATTGCTCTTGCAGCCGGTGGGGTTCAGTGGGCACTGGCTCAGACCATCTTCCAGCAGCATTAAAGGAGTGACGGTGCAGCTGGAAGGCTAAACCTGGGGCCTTCCTTTAGTATGTGAGCACCAGCTGGTGTTTGCCAGACCAGAAAGGCAACCACTAAAAATTGCAGTTACAGCTTCCTCTGCACGTGACTACGCATAAATGACACAAAAACGAGAACCAGGCATGGTCACTGGACAAGAAGCATCTGTCACAGGGTGGCCTGGGGGAGGCAGAGCAAGCCCAGGGTGCTGCAGGCAGGGACACCACTGCCACCACCATAGAGGCCTGGGCTCAGGTTCTGCTTTCTGCCAAGGCTTGGCCAGCCTGGCTGCTTGGCCAGCCTGGTTGCGTGGCCACCCCAGGCCACCTCCTGCCACAGTCTGTCAGGCAGAGCTGGCCCTGGGGGCTCTGCCCATAGGGTGGCAGGAGGCCAACCCCTTGAGGCCCACAACTGCACAGCAAGGATTTTCTGAGGGGAAACATACTTCTCAACAACTTCGGTTTCCAGCAAATTCCAAAAGTACCACCTTCCCCTTTTCTTTGAATGTTTGCTTTGTGTTTCTAGGCTGTGCATTTTACTAAAAATATTTAACTATCAAAAATCCAGCATTAAGACTGGCAGCATCTTTCCACCGTGCCAACAGCAGAGTGATTTCTTTTACCTGTATTATTTCCCAAAGAGAGTAGCACTGAGATGACTCTTGAGATTTCAAACAAAAAATAGTAATATGGAAAATGCAGCAGGCTAATGAATTAGAAGTGTAAATTGATTTCCACCTTTTAAATTAAACTTTTTAAGATGCTGGTAAACAACAACCCTATCCTGGATTGTCTGTTGTTTGTATTTATCAACAAATAAAGATCATTCAGCAAACCTTAAGCAACCTCAGCACTTAAGAAGAAAATGTAGTAACTGAATTTGACCTAGGCCATGCCTGCTCTATGACAGCATAGCTGATTTCTTTAAAGTTTCAGCTTTGGGATTTAAATGAATGTTAAGAAAGTAAAAAATTAAACACTGTGGATTTTTTTTTAATTTTTTTTTTTACTGTGGTATTTATTGCATGGTTGCAATAGAGGAGGCCAGTCAGCAGAGGGAGATCAAGCCTGCCATCAAGCCTTCCCAGCGGTGCAGCGCTGAGATGCCCAGAGCCGCGGGGCAGGGATAGCCCAGCACAGGGCTACCTTGCTCCTCGGTTCATTGCAGAGCCAGCTCCCCTCTGTCTCTGCTTTTGCTGTTCTCTCTGGAGGTGAACGCTGCAGAAGCAGCACTCCCATATCCCTGGCTTTCTTGCTGTCTTTGAGCAGCACGGGGAAATGTCAGGCTATGCTGGTATTTCTCTGGTTCTGTGGAGGGACATCAGGGACTTCACCCATCCCTGGTGAGAACTGGCAGTAACAGGGCTGCTGCCCATGGTTACTCACATGAATTCACTTGGGCTGAATTCACCTACAGTGAAGAAAATAAGAACCAATTTCATTTTCAAATGAAAGTGGCATGTAGGCAAAATGTCAGACTTACAAGTCTTTCCCACTTAATGATGGAGACAATATAAATATACTATTTGCAAAAGTGTGTGAGCTATGCAACTGACTTTCATTATGCACTTTTGAATTTCTTTGTGTACATCCTGCTGTTCCCTTCTGCATCTTCATTCCTTTATAAATCTGTCTCTCAAGCTGGCTGTCCTCAGCAGGGAGTGACATACAACAGACTCTGTCAGCATCGTCTTTACCACCACGTTAGCATAGCCAGTTGTCTCTAGAGAAGGTGTTTCCCAGCCCTCAAGTCTAAACAATGATTTACCTCTCACTGTGAGCCGCCCATGCTGTAAGCCGTCAACTGTCACCAAGCGAACATTTTGGATGTCATCATTGTCTACAATTTGGAAGTGTTGCCATGTGATTGGTCGGGATTGTCCTTCCAGGAGGTTGAGGCCTACAAAGAGCAGAGTGTTATTTTACAAAAGTATCAGCAACATTCGAGGCTCTCAGTATCCCCTTCTGAATGTTTCTGCAGTCAGGGGAAAAAAAAAAAAAAAAAAATTTAGTCCCATCCATGTATCTGCCTGATACAGACATTTCAAGAGCAGCTTAAAAAAATAAAATAAAAAATTAACATTTCTTTAAGTTTCTATAACATTTCCTCCCCAAAAGGGATAAAGAAAAAAAAATAAAGTCACACTCCTTCAGTTTCATCCTTAAACTCCAGGTGTAGGTTTGAATTTTAGACCTCTGTCAAATGCCGTGTCCAGACTGTGAGTAATTCTGTAGAATAAACTAAGTAAAAGAAATCTCACCTGTATTCCATGAAACCCGGGGAGCATTTGTATCTGCTGTTCTGATAGAAAGATGCACTGTGATTGGTAAACTCCTTTCAAAGTAGAAGTCATGAACCTCAACCTCTAGCTGTTGAAAAAACAAAGAGTTTATTGGACAAAAAAAAAAAAAAAAGCTGTACACCAAAACACATACAGTGTGTTATTATCTCAGTGATATATCCTAGGAGATTTTAACATCTTCTGATAAAAAAGTAAAAAACAAAACTCAGTTAGCTTGTAAAGAGTCTTTGAGATTCTGTACTAGATTAAGTATCTGTCTTCTGCGTTCTTAACAGCAAATGGAGGTAATCTGCAATGTGTAGAAATTAATGGGAAAGATGAGTGTTTTCATGGTTGGTTGGGGTATAATTAATACTGCAGTTAACACAAGATTTTTTTATAGCAATAACAAAGGGGGGAAGGGATACTTCCCTCTTTTTGATACCTATAGGAGGGAAAAAAATATTTTGAAAAAAAAAAAAGATGTACCCAAAGTGGGAGACATTCATCTTCTGCACTCTCTGGCATGTCTGGTGGGTGAAAAATTGCTAGCAGCAAACATGGCAAAGGTAGAAGTAAATGTATTCCTGCAGCCTTGGTCTCATAGCTTTATACTGCTTAGTTGTTTACTTACTACAGACCTGCAGACACCAGAAGAAGTAGAAGAAGAAGAAGAAGAAGAAGGAGGAGGAGGAGGAGGAGGAGGAGGAGGAGGAGGAGGAGGAGGAGGAATAAAAAGAAAATTGTTTTTAGATATTTTGAGACAAAGGATAGAACTCTTCAAGTTCAAAGAAATTACTAGAGTAGCAAGCAATAAATACATGGTTTTTGTTAAACTGGTAAGCTGATGAGACATAGGTGAAAGCAGTAATATTTATAATCTCAGTTCCTGTATTGCATATAGTTAGAGTAACAGTATGTTTTGTTCTGAAAAATATCCATTACAAATGGATGCATTTGTTTATAGATTAACAAATTGCAAGATGAAAAACAGCAAATATTCATGTTTTACACCGTTACCTCATAACTCCTCCTCTCTGTGTGGCTGTTATTTGGAGGCTGATAAGCAATGAGCATTTCACTGAGATCTTTCCAAGTGAAGGAGCCAACAGGTTTTGTGTGGTCTGATAAATGAGTGATGAAGCCCTGCAGAGGTGGCTTGGTAATGTTGAACACAAGCAGGGACTTTGGAGTTTCACTGTCTTCAGCATCAACTGTTGTGGTTGTAATGAAGGTTAAAATAAACTGGTCTACTTCCAGGAAGAACTTTGCCCCCAGAGAAGGTTTGGGAATTTGATTGGGAATAGCACCTTTAATCTGAACATGGAGCCATGCATATTCAGTCTACAACAGGGAGAAAAAGGAGAACTGAAAGGACAAAGTGAAGCAAACAACATAAATTTAATTTCCATTACCATCACATAGCTAATTGGGGCACTTGTTAAAGCAATAAATTATTCTGAAAAGAATTTAAACATTTTCATGAGAAAATGCCTAAAGTAAAATATTTATACCTCAGGAAAGGTCTTCCAGGTTCACTTGTCTTCTTTGTGGTTTTAATTTTGGGCTGAAACAACTTGCCTAATTTGATGTGAGTTTCATGAATAATTTTACCTGACAGAAACATGCACATGAGTCATTAATTATTATTAACTGAAAATGCTCACACAGCTCTTAGCTTATTAATTACTATATATGTTGAAAGCAGTGCAGTTCATGCTCTGTAAAGGAGTGGAATTTTGCCAGGATTAATTTTGCTTTCAGGCTAAACTACTCAAGACTGCCAGTAAACAGCCAGAGGTGTTTCTCTCTAGCATAGGGGCATAAATATAACGCATGCAATTTGCCCAGCTGGCAACACTGTAAGAATAATTTAAAAATAAAAATAATTTTTTTTGGAAACCAAGAAGACAGACATTGTAAGTTGCATAGAAGTCTACCTTGTGCAGAGTTTTGCTTCTGCTGTCTATGAGATCCAGCCTCACAGGAATATAATCAGTGTCTGGTGAGGGAGGGTCAAGGTGCTGATACCGAATCCCCATCCTCAGAAACTCTTCACAGCTCATTTTTGTGTTGTAGATGACTCCCACTCCCAGTGTACAGCTCCCATTTCTGCACTGCTGGCCTGGACTGTGCTCTGTAACACAACAGAAGCCATAGTGAAACAGTTAACTGAGCAGAAACCAATTCTGAAAACAATTCACAGGCTGAGCAGAAACCTGTTCACTAGGTTAAACTAACCCAGATTTCCTGACCCAATTTCTCCTACAGGATTTTGCTTTCAGCTGAGGTTTTCCAGCTCCAGACTCCCGTGGTCCTTTGCAAGATGCTTCCTCCAACTACTCCCTCTGCTGTTTCTACTGTGTTTTGGCACTCGCAAAGCCATCACATTGGTCTACAGGTCTCAGAGCCAAAACCACATTCCTGTTAGGGGATTACTGACCATTTGTGAGCTGCATTTTGCTCCACACAAACTTCATGACCCTTTCTGTTTCCAAGATAGCTCAAGCTGTTTGTTAAACTTTGCATGACCCACTCCTACCCAGCATGTCTGGAGAAAACAGCAAATGCAATCTGCCAGGTCCCTTTGAACCTGCTAACACAAACAACTAAAGCACATCATACTAGGGCCAGGGAAGAAGCTCTGTGGCTGATCCCCACGAAGCTGTTCCTGCTGCACGTCCCCCACGATGAGCTGGCCATGGGCAGGTAGGTGGGTTTCCGAAGAGGCTATGGAAATGGTACATTCCAGATTTATCTTCCTGTCGTAGTCAAAAGTGAGGACATTCTTGTCAATTGCCCTGGACAGACCGTAGTACTCAGGCACCTCCAAGGCTTGGGAGCGCATTTTGATGATGTTACAGTCTGGCTCAAGTAACTGCACGTGGAGAGTGAATGTTTCTACAAACGTTTCGGTTTCTGTAAACCTGCAGGTGATAGGAGGAAATGAATTATGCTTCATCCCATCTGTCACTCTCAGTGAATTTGGTGTTAGCCTCACTTTCTAAACTGATTTACTTGAACTCCTTTCACTCATGTGTTCTCAAATCCCAGATCTTCAGAGAACATGAGGTGTCCAACACAGCTGCCAACCTCTTCATGCTTGTAAAAAGGGTGTCAGTGAATGAATAGGCTATTTGCTGTTTATACCCAGGGGTCTGTGTCCCTGTCAGCAGTAAAGGATGGGACATGCCGTGCTTTTAAAGTACTCATGCCACTTTCAATAACAAGAAGAAGAATCACTGGTTTTCTGTAATGAACAAGCAGTATATAATATTTAGGAATACTAATAAACACATTTTCACAGTGTACCTGAAATAAATCATGAAAAATGTTCCCGTAAACGGATGGTCAGCTGTTCATTAACAATGCTGCTGCTGAATCTAAGTAGTTACCACGTGTACAGCAGAACCTGCTTTTACCCTGAAAAATGAACTGCTTGCTCTTCCTTACAAAATTGCATTCATTGTAACAATGAAATGTGATGATCCAGTGTGATCCAGTGTGATCCAATGCTGCTTACCTGTACAGCCTGAGCATGACCATGTCTTCATCTAAAAGTGGACAACCATTGTGGGTATATTTAACTTCATTAGGAAGGAAGTGGCAATCAAAAACCTATGGAAGAAGAACAGACAAGTGCAACACTGTCAAGGAAGCTAACTTCAAAACTTCTGTTGTTGTTCTCTTTGGCTATCAGGAATGCATCAGCCTAAGCAAATTTCTAATCTACAGTTTATTTCTGTAAATAGGTATTTACCCATCCTTTGTTCTCCCAGAGAGATCCAGAGCACCAGCAGCAACGTGCTGCTCTGCAGTTAGAACGACATATAAAAGTGGTTTTCTCATGCCACCAAGTCCCTTCTCTCCCCTGTAGCTCAACAGCCAGCTTTGCACACACTCGTCCCCGCAGCCTGTGCATGTATGGATACTGTTGTGCTCAGAGGAAGGACTGCAACTGATCTGAACTGATCTGAACTGCAGTTCTGATCAACAGTTTCTGAAGGATAACATTGCATTTAATAGTTTTACAAGTTGCTTATGCTGTAGCTACTTTAAACATTAAATCCTTTATATATATAATATATATATATATTGCTCTGGAGAGTTCTGATATGCCCATTCTTCAGAAGAGAGATTTAGATTTTGGGGCATATGATTGGCATGTCCTCACATATGCCAATTTGATATGATATGTCCTCACATATGCCAGTTTGAGAGTATGGTAAGTTACATGCAGTTATAATTTTTAACAGAGTTTAATGACTGAAAGCTCCTGGCATTGATTTAGCATAGACCATTTCCAAATTATCCTTGTGATAAGAGGGAACCCTTACACATCCCATGCATGGGCAGAGGATAATCAATGTCTCATATCTACAGAAAGAACATATTAGTTTCAGCAACAGGGCAGAAGCTAATCATTTCTCGTGTGTTTCACTGCAGAGTTAAATGAGTTTTTGATTCAGTTTCTATGGGCAGTATTCACACATGATTTCTTCCTCTGTGTACTAAAATAAAATCTGTTTAGCGTTCACCAATAGTTCTGATGAGGTCATAACCTATCAGAATTAACACACGTGCCATTGACTGGCAAGCAAGGGCTTTTTGCAGAAAGTAGTTATTTCATACTACCAGTCATTTCTTAAAATACAGTAAAAGAGCAATGAAAATGAAGTGGATTGCCTTAATTAGCTACATCTCCCAGCCGCTCTGGAGGATGGTAAAATGGAAAGGGCTTTTTGGTGAGATTCTGAAATGCTGACTGTAACTGTTGTAAACAAAGAAATTCTTTAGATGCTCTGAATTTCAATGTAAAAATAAAGTAATACTCTCATTATTAGTAGTAGCAGTATAGTAGTAGTAGTGGTAGTAGTACTAGTAGTAGTACAGCAAGATGGAAATTCTAATGCTGTGTAATGGCTATATAGAAACAAAGGCCAGTAGTTCTTACATCTTTCAATGTAAATCAATGAAATGGTCAGGATGCACTTCTGTTAATTGCACATTAGCAATCAGAAATTTAGAAATTAGAGTTCATCTATTGTCCCTTCATCACTTTCATTTTTATTGGCAGTGTCCATTTTCACTGAAGTTACTCTCAGAGGCTCAAGCTACATGGTAATTGTTCCATATTTCTAGTGATTTTAAAATGTATTCCCTGCTTTTAACTTTTACAAAGAAGCAGGTTGTACAAAATCACATTTTTTCAGTAAGTAATGAATTAGTTGTTTATCAGACACATATACACGGATTTACTACTCTATTCCAATTGGCTAAAATAACCTTGGAACAATCTACAATATATGGTGTTACAGACAGTATGACTGATTTTTGTTTGTTGAGGCTGCTTAGGAAAAAAAGGACAATAAGAGTTGATGAAAAAATGCTTCATATATAGTCAATTTTTGAACTATGTTGTGTTTGTTCTGCTGTATGTTGTTTTCACATGTTTTAGAAATATATTTTGCTATTTTTCAGTATTCAGCAAATAACATGCCCTTTTCTTACTTAATATCTTCTCTTTTTTATGGAAGCTAACAGCAAGGAAGGTGATAAGTAATAAATTAGAGAGTCTTCAGTGATATTCTAGAGAAAGAAAAAAAAAAGTTGAAAAAAAAGTTGTTAATGTTGTGTCAAGCTAAACAAAAATATGTACTTCATATAGGAAAGTCACTCATACTATAGCTTCCTGTAGTTTAGTAACATACACTTATGATAAGATTCTTCACTGATATAAACCAGTGAAGAGCCGTCAAGGTCTGTGGGGTTTTTGGTAACATGTAGACCTGACCTGCACCTAACAATTGGCTGATGCATCCCTGTTTGTACAAGAATAGACTTCCTGCAACTGAGGAGGTGGTTATTCATATCAAAGAATTTATTTCTTTCTTTATAAGACAAAATTAGTTCCACCTCTTAATTGATAACAAGGGGATAGAAGATGAAGGACCTTTCCACAAAGGTCTGTTACCACTGACTGGTTATTTTATATGTGTATGAGACTCAATCTGCTATGCAAAAAGAAACATCTGTTTTATGTTTCCTAATATGTTTTCCTTTTATATGAGCAGGCAACTCTAATTGTCTATAAATTCACTGGGTAAAACAAAGGAGATCTAAATCTTTTCCTAATTACTGTCGAGCTTTGTTTTTTTCCACTTCAACTGCTTTTCAATTACAAATTATAATTAAATTGTCACACATTCCTAGTACATTACTCACTTTAATGGCAGTAAAATAGATCAGATCAGAGAAATTTTCAGGCGGTAGAATTTCCTAGTAGAAAGAGCATGAGTGGCACCAGGATGGCCAGACTCTGGCATGTTGTTACAGGAATGGTTAAAGATCAGAGAACACATTTGAGTGTATCATTGAAAATAGAAGGTCTTATCCTACAAATGGCATATTGCCAGCTGGGCAATATGACTTGAGAAGCAGACTGGCTAGTTCTCTGGCAGTGTCCATGGAGAAACCCACTTGGAAGCATGTTTGCAGCGGTCCCACCTCCATGTGGCTACAGAGCGAAGGAGAAGGCACCTCTCCTGTTGGGATGTCACTCTGGCCAGCACCCATCCAGGGGAGGTATCCCACACCACTAGCAGCCATAGCCCTTTGCCATCTTGTGTTCACCTGCCCATGAGAGCTCCTTCTTCCAGGTGAGGTGCACCTACAGCCTCCAAGAGGTGCTCTTATGCCTGGGATAGAATTGGGACAATGAAAGGATGGGCCCTTCACTTAACAGAGGTAGGGTTGGGAGCAAAGAAAGGCAAGGACCCTAGGTATTTCAGAAAAATTGAAAGCAAAGAGTAAGGTCAATTCCTCAGTCAGCCGCTTTGCATACAGAAGCAGTCTACTGGCAAAGTGGTGTGTAAGACTCTCTTTTTCTCCTAGTGGGCCAGGCAAGGCTGGGGAAGTGGAGAGAAAAAAATGCTGCATGCACCCTTGAGCTCAGAGAAGAGGGTTCTCTGCAAAGCCTTCCAGCAGAGGTACTGAACTTCCAGGGACCAGTCTCTGGAGAAGCTAACGTGTTGCCATGTTCATTACCTACCGTTTTCCCTGGCGTGAATGTGCAGGTTTGACAAAAGTAATTGTGGTGCAAAATGGTGTAAAAAATAATGTTAATGACCAAGCCAGAAGCTCTGAAAAATTTTCTGGGGCTAGTGTTTCTGCAGAGACCACCACAAACCTCAGGGAGAGTGTTTAAAAATCCAGACACATGCACAAATATAGTCAAGTATGTTATATGGTACAATTAACAAAACTTTACAGAAACAGAAAAAAGCTGTTTGGTTATGGTTCATTTTAAAGCCATTAATCTACCTCTACCATTATGTTTTCATGCCAGTTACTTCCAACTCCCTCCTGCTATGACTTAAATGGGTAGATTTGTGAGGCAAATGAGTGAATGGTGGTATGTGAAATATATTTCATCATTCCTACAAGCTTGAGATTTTAAAAGAAAACAATTTTTTTTTAATGTATTTACCATCTGTTAGCAATTTGGCTGTTGCAGAGTTCAGCAAACAATACTGTACACAATATGCTTATTGTATGTGATGATTTTTTTTTCTTAATTGCTCCCAAGGTAGTGGCTGCGTGACTAAAATGCAAAATGTTTTAGCTGGCTCTGCATTACTCAAGGGACAGTGGATATCCTTATGGCAGAAAAACAGGCAGCTGAGATTAGAAGAGGTCCCCTAACCAAAAGTTTTGAAATACCCATTCTCCCTTTGTGAAAGGAGACTGACCACTTTTATGTATGCATGTTACTGGGCTCATCTTTTCCATTTCAGGGGTGCAATCCTCTGTCAGCTGACTAACAAAAAGTTGAATCTCATTCACACAAAACAGTCAGTTCAATGCAATTTAACCACTACCACAAAAAATCTTACATAAAGCAACACTTCCTACTTTCTCCCATACTTGTACACAGGCGGACATGCAGAGCAGCACAACAGGGCCCAAATACCTGTGGAGTTAGCTTCCCAACCCTCTGTGTTATTGGCTCATTTATCACAACTTCAACTTTGCACAAATCCTTCTCTCTGGGGATGGAGAACTTGAGGTCATCTTCTGAAAGAAAGACAGACTGTCCCTTCATCACTTTCATGCCGAGGTTGACGCTAATAAAGGAGGAGCAGACAACTCTTAGGAGAACAGCCAACAGTGGCAACAACCAGGTTTTCTCAAATGACTTCATGTTATGAGGGTAGATCAGCTCTTTCCCACTAGTGAAAATGTTCTTGATGAGAGTGGTCTTCTCTTCTTCCACCAGAAGATTTACACCATACAATGACGGACCAAAACGTTAGTCACAGGATAAAATGTACCACATTTTCTATTAAGATGCATCCCTTGACTGAAATTTCAACAGAGACCTTTCAAATCATCCTTGGGTTTTTCTAAAATTCATTGGTCAAGCCAGACAAAATGATAAATTTGTTCTCAGAGTACTTCTCAGGTTTATTAATCCTTTAAAAAAGAGAAAAAAGAAAAAAAAGAAAAAAAAAATAAAAAAAAAGTATAAGGCATTGATCATCTCTTAAAAGCAAACAAGCAAGCAAGAAAACAAACACATTTCCCTATAATTCATTGTAATTTCAATTTAATTTCAATCAAAAAAAAGAACCTTACCTTTGAACACCATTAAGAACATATATGCTCAGAAAATTAGCTATGTAGCAATGAGACTTCTTCCTCAACAGATAAGCTCTCACTGTGCACTCCAGGCATTTTCACAAATAAACATTTGGTATGTAGGATCCTCTGCTACCAGCCATTTTTATCACTGAATCATGTTAGTTTTACTGAATAGCATATTAATCAAAGGGTATGAGTATCCAGATAATTTCAAAGTGCATAAAAGTAGGCCTTTGTCCAGATTCAATGTAAGTAGTAGAATAAAGTAGAATAAAGGAAATGTGGCTTTTTGTTAAATACATTTTTTCTGTGTCATTGAATATGGATGAAAAAACTCAACTTTTAGTTCCAAACATGATCCTAGTGCTCTCTACTCTTCCTACTACAGTGACAGACTATCCCACAATGTTAACAGAGATATATATGATATTGCACTGCAAAGCTGAATTTTTTATTAAAAAAAAAAAAAATGTAATCAGTAAAAAAAAAAAAACAAAAAACAAACAAACAAACAAAAAACAGTGGCAATAAGAAACAATAGACAACGATAAAAATAAAATTACACAAAGTCTCTCATGCCCCTAGTTACAGCTAATCTCTGTTTTCATGTTTATAACTTCATAAGAAAACCATAGTGCTGTCATTAACCAAGCAGTTTTGAAATCCTTACAAGACTCTTATACAGCCCTCCAAAGTAACTGGAACTGTGGCCCAAAGAATAGGCAACAGTATTGATTTAATTAAATCTAATGAGATCCTAGGCAATTACAACCTATTAAAGTATCAGAATTCCTTCAGTTTCTTATGTATCTCTCTATATTTCCTTCATTACTATTCACAGATATATGTTCACTCTACATTTTTCTGCAGAGTGACCTTCTGAACAGTCTACACTTTTACATAGCCATCAGCTCAGTTCTACAGTTCAGTGAACAACAAATGGCAGTTAGAATTTGTTAAAGATTATCCCCTGCCTAAAGTAACACAAGACAGATCCACTCACTTCAGCCCAAATTTAAAACTGAAGACACTGGGACTAACATATGTTTAAAGTTAGATGTATGTTGATTATAGACCCCAGATCTTAACTCTAATTTTCTGGCTTTTTATCTAAAAATCTTTCCATTTTGGTCTAAAATTATGCAGCTTACTCAGTCTGAAAAAATCTAGGAGAAAATGTAGAGTTCTAGGTAGAGAAAAGAGAATGAAATTCACGATTTCATCACATTTTTTAATGTGCTACAGAAAAAAAAAAAAAAAAGGAATAAATAAAATTAAAATAAAAAGATCAACTTATTTAAAAGCATTTACTTACACATACAGATTTTACTAAAATCCTAACATATAAATGTATCCAAAATATATGCTAATTTTTGTTTTGTTTTGTTTTGTTTTTTTCTAGTGGGATGCATGTGCATGACACATCATCAAAATGAGCACATCCAAGACAGTACTCTTCTTCCTATAATTCAGTTTTGAAACACAGTTGGCAATTCCATAAAGGAAGGCATGGAAAGAGGAGGAAGAAAATAAATTAGACCTCAGGCTTTTTCCAAGTGAAAAAGTACAGTACCCTTTTAGCCTGAATATATCTGACTGGTATTTATCACCTAGTGCACGGAATGTTAATATTTTTCAGATATACACTATGTTTCCTAAAAATATCAGCTACAAAGCATGGTCAGACGTTCTGAGTGAAGACCTGCCTCATTTGCCCTGCCCTCATCCTAATTCCTGAATCTAGCATGGCAAGGACCAGGCTAAAACAAACTCCTTGGCATATGGCTCAAGAAGATACTGTGTTTAATGTCTCCTCAGGCATGCCAGAATCCTTAGCCAGCAGGAAACTCCTGGCAGAGGAATGCAGTGGCTTTCAAATTGTTGGAGGAGGAGAAGGTGGAGGAGGAGGAGTAAGAGAAGGAGTAGTAAGAGGAGGAGAAGAAGAAGACAAAGAAAAGAAAAAAGAAAAAAGAAGAAAGAAAAAAAGAAAAAAAAAAAAAAAAAAAAAAAAAAAGGAAGGAAAGAAAAAGAAAAAGGAAAAGGAAAAGAAAAAAAAATACAGCCTGCACAGTCTTTATTCCCACCTGAATGGCTACCACAAAAGCACTTTGTAGCTTAATACAACCTGACCTCCAATTCAGCAGTGACAGTGTTCAGCGAATGTATTGTTTTCTTTACACTTTCCATACATGCTTACAAAAGAGAAAGCCAGCTGTATCTCTCAAACAAGCATTGTCAGAACATTGCTCATGTAGAGACATCCACAGCTCACTGTGGTTAAGCTCAGGTCAATCTACATTCTGGTCCCTGCCCCATAAACCCCAAGACTGAGTGCAGGTATAAACCTCAGGCATGGGCAGTGGTTTCTTCACTGCCTTTTCTTGCTCTGCATCAAGAACACTAAGAGCAGAAAAACAGAGGCCCAGAGGAGCCAGGAGCATTTTGTCCAATTTCATGGTGGATATATGAGCTATTCTCTGCCACAAAATTTGTCCCATGCTCTTACTGTGTCTTACAGGCTTTCTTTAACTGCTTTTACCTGCAGGCATTGCTCCCGTATCACTGTACACATGTGTTTGCCCAGAATGTTCCTGCAATTGTTCCCTACTTGTCTGCTGCAGGGCTGTCTCCCTGTGTGGCTTAGTGAAGTTCTTGAGAAGCGTAACCTCACTTCCTCAGTCCAGTGACAGCAAAACAAAATGACAGGGGATCCTTTCGAAATGTAATGACAATAAAATGAGAAATAAAATGTCCAAGTGAGAGCTATGATATTAACATTCTCACTTTTGTATGAAGAAGGACATTGCTTCAGTAAAGTCATGCATGCCCTACAAGGCACTTACGCTGATGCAGAGTGTCCATGTGTTGGTGCTCTACGGCAGATGTACCACTGCTGGTGATGCCACTGTTGCTTTTTGTGGCTGCTTCCAAGTTGCTTACAGCTTCCCTACTGCTCTACCCTTCATATTACTGCTAAGCCTGATTCATCCCTGCTGTTTCTTCATGTGCTACCTATGTATCCAGAATGAAGGATACTGAGGCATTACTTCAAAATACGCTGCAATATTTCGTATAAATGTAGATGCTTAATGAAATAATGAAGTTCATTAACAATACATTAGGAAGATCAGTGCAGACTTTTTAGACTAAGCTGTTTTCTCATTGATTTTCTAAAGGTTTGGCTATGGAGTAAAATAGCTGAACTCCAGGTGAGTTCTGAGTTTTGTGAGAACCTAGTCCAAGATTCAAAACAGACATGCCTATTCAGCACTGTATTATATAGTAGTTGCTATGTCTTGGCAAGGTTACAAATAGTCAGGGGTCTGGAGCACATGATTTATGAGGAGAGGTCAAGAGAGCTGAAGAAGCGAGGGCTATGAGACAATCTTGTATCTGCTTTCAGATGTCTAACAAAGGAGTGCAGAGAACCGGGGGCAAACAGCAAAGAGGTAAGATGCAACAAAAAATTCACAACAAGGGAAATTCCCATTAGATATTGGGGAAGAGAAATTCACAGTGAGTACTGCCAGTGGAACAGGTCACTGTGGAGTTTCTATGGTGGAATTTACGTGCAGGGGTGTTTTACACCCTAAACCATGCTATGATTCTCAGCTGAAATGATATAGCTTTCTGGATTCCAGCATCCAAGTGAATTACCTGCTGTGTTTTTTCTGAACCACTGTGTTGTACCCTGCAGACTGTCCAGTAATTCCTGTGAGATCCAGTATAAAACCATACTAGCATAACAACTGTGTTGATAAAGAAAGAAACTTGATAAAGAAACTTTGACGCGATTACATGTGGATTTGCCAATCTGATACTGCCAGAGGAAAACTGCTTGAAATGAACTGCGATCCTGGAAAAGGAGTCTACCTCTGGCAATTTGGACAATGGATATTGTTCTTGGTGCAAAACATAACCCCAAGCATGTGTACAAGACACTGTGCATGGGACACTCAGCAAGGGGAACTCCAAGGAGCTCCTTGTCTGCCAGCAGACCCCTGCCCTGCTCTGCAGATGATCCCAGGGGAGCAAGAAGGGAGAGGGAGAAACAGCCTCTGAGGAGGCATTGGTGTGACTCTGATGAGCTAACAGAGGAATAGAGCATATTGGGTACAGCTTAGAGGAGAGTAACTGAGAATGTCTGATGTGGTTTGTTAAACATTTCCTCCAAATGACAGAAGAACTAGTTTTCCCTCACGGTTGCTGGTACACATGTGAAAAATTATGCAATGGTTAATTACAAGCATAAGTGTTCTCACCAAATACAACTGACTTTCAAGAGGGAAGGGAAGGGAAGGGAAGGGAAGGGAAGGGAAGGGAAGGGAAGGGAAGGGAAGGGAAGGGAAGGGAAGGGAAGGGAAGGGAAGGGAAGGGAAGGGAAGGGAAGGGAAGGGAAGGGAAGGGAAGGGAAGGGAAGGGAAGGGAAGGGAAGGGAAGGGAAGGGAAGGGAAGGGAAGGGAAGGGAAGGGAAGGGAAGGGAAGGGAAGGGAAGGGAAGGGAAGGGAAGGGAAGGGAAGGGAAGGGAAGGGAAGGGAAGGGAAGGGAAGGGAAGACTCAAACACTTTTTTTAGAGTTATCACTATCACAAAAATTCTGACAAAACTTCTCAATTTAGCATTATCTAGTGTAAATTTTTCAAGTGCTAACTGTCTTCAGAATCTAGAGAACTATATATGTCCCTAAAAGTATCCATGAGTTGTGGAAAGCTAGACATCTGTGCAGAACCCCTTCAGAGGTACATACAGAAATTCTCAGTTGTGTACCTCCAGAACCATGTCAAAGTACATCTGGTCTTTTATATAATCTTTGCAAACAAAATTAATCATTGC